AGCGATTTCACCATATGAAACGTTTAAATCGATATTATACTATTTCCATAATTCTCCTGTAGAAGCATCCTTGCAGAGCTGTCATTTGTTTCAAATATCAACCGCAAACATTCGCAACTTCTGACTTAGCCAACAAAATACTTTGATAAGTGGTTAGCGCTCAGCGTTAAACTCGCTCCACTGGGTGCTACTGGAACAGTTAGAAATTTCTGCCGGATTAGTGCAGGTAGCTGGGCACCGCCACCGGACATCGCTCTTTACATAACTTCCATTTTTAGGAGATAAATTTTGGAAGAGAACTGTGCAGGCTTCGTCCAGGTGAATGGCACTTGAAAAATTGTATTGTGCAATATATTCCACTCGAATAAAGTTAATACGAAGTGAAAAGGCTAAATGCATTCCGAGATAGATAAATTTCTTATACAAATTCATGTCCAACAAATTTCTTTAGTCTAATTTTTTCTTCGTAGTCGCGTGATCGTTCATTTCGATGTGCGTTCAGTAAAGAAATTCCCATTAGAATAATAATTCTTAGGAATTATTTATTTTAAATGGCATATAGAATTCTAAAGAATTCTCAATGAAAAGTGCTTTGATGAAATGTCAAATAGACCAGTTCGGCGATCCGTAAAAATTAAACTCTCTCTCTTACTTTTTCTAATGAAAGTTCGCTGCTTCAGCTAACAGTTAAATAAATGATTGCTTAGGTTATTTAATTTTCAAAGCCCAAAAATTCTTTCATTTTGAACAAAAAAGACGAAAACAAATTTTCTATTATTTTATATTTGTAAGAATTCTAAGAATTTTTTCAAAATCGTCGAAATTAAATTAAAATCAAAAATTAAAATTAAGAAGAAAATTAGATTAAAATCAAAACAAATTCTTAGACAATTCTTAGAATCTATGATATTGCGCGAATGAATTTCAAAATTTCAAAAAAGGAAATTTAGGAAAGGAAATTTTTTAAGTGATTATTGGTTGAATGGATCTATGCGTTCAAATATCATTCGCTTAGAAGAGAAAAGAATTAGATTTTCGTGGATTTTGACAAAATGGCAATTCTTTTATTTTATTAGAAAACTGGAAGTTTTTTCGTTACTTTATTAATTCGTCTTATAGAAATCTTTAAACAACTAATTAGGCACAAAAGACACTAAAAGATTACTGCCATTTCAAAAATTGAAAACATTTATTGCTATATTTACTGCAACAAATTACTATTATTATTCCTTTTATTATCATTTATTATTATTTCAAATTATTATTTCTTATTGTTATTTCTATTAATGTTTTTTATTCTATTTGCTAATTTTTATCTTTTATTTTATTTTCTTATATTCCTTTTCGCGTTTCAAGTTATATCCTTTTCCTTATTTGATTTCTTACTTGCACGCGGCTTTACGCTGTACTCGGTTCCAATAAATAACATTACTGCTAGCAACATCCCGAATGCTGACGATGCGCCTTCGACTCTCACCGACTCTCCTAAATTCCTCTTTGCGCCATCAGTGAAACAAGCTCAACGAGAATGCTGAACACTGATGCTAACCACTTATTATCAATAATATTAAGCAATATTAAGCAAAGCTTTAATAATGTTGCCAATGTCGTTATTACCAACATTGTTAAAAAATCTCTATTTATTGTCAAATTTGTCTTTAACATAAACCTTAAAAGAGTGCGATAAAAACAAGAGGAGAAGGCAGAAAGGTCGTTATCGACTGGTATGTTGCTTCGACTAAGCTCAAGTCATCATTGGTTTGGTTGCTGTTCGTTGATAGGGGTGGAATTTAACTGTTAACTGTTAGAAGACTGCGAAAGGGGATTTAAATATTTAAATCTGTAAGAATTTTATTATTTGTTGATAAAATTCGTTCGATGAACGATTAAGAAAATTTTTCTCCTCCAACGAATTACTTTATTTCCAAATGAATTTGGAAATGAAAATGCTGAAAATCTACTTTCATATATTTATATTTATTGCTCTTTTTTTCCTATTATTTTTCGAAATAATCTTATTTTTTCTCAAAAATTTGGCCTTCGCCTTCTGCTGTTTACAGGTGTGGCATCAAACCGAGCGGCCAGTGCAGTTTATCTAGCCAGTAATGGTGAGTTGCCCGGAGAATAAAGAGAACATTGCAACGATCTATTTTTCACCGTGTGTTTCTCACCATGAATGTTTTCTTTAGGTGGTAAAATTCTGAGACAGCTATAGGTTCTTTTTCTTAATTGCTTCTTCGAATGGCTGGAAATTTCAATAGAAAAGGTGGAAAATTGAAGGCTCGAAAATGCTCGAAAAAATTCAGAATTCAGCTTTGTGAGAGAAACATTTTTTATTTTTTCTGTTTTTTTTCATTAATTCCACTTAGATTCAGGAGGTGTATAGTAAAATAAGTAAATATAGCACTCGCTACAGCTAGTTCCGAATAAAAGCGTTGCATTAGCCATTAGTAAGACGTGAGACATCCACTTGGCAGCTATCGGTTGGCCGTGCCATCGTATAAATTTCTTTATGACATATCATTCTTAGCGAGGCTAAAATCATGGTACTCAAAAGCGTTTTATAATCGGCCACGCTGCTCTTAAAAAAAGATGTAATAGCTTACATTAGAAATATATTTACAGTTCCCTCTTAAATATTCGTATGGATACGACTGGAAAATCGCTTTTTTTAAATTCATTTATTATCTTATACCTCCTTCTTCCCCATTGTCCTTACGAATGCAAGGAATGGAAAGAAGAATTCAGGAAAAATACTAGAATACTTGACCAGAATACTTACGCTATTTTCCAGCAGCTTCACAATATGAATGAAAAAAATAGTGCCCAAGAAGCAACCCTCCCTGGTGACTTGGCAATCCCTTCTAGATGCTAGAAATGCTTATAGCTTCTTCCGGAATTTACTTAAGAATGAAAAATAATATGAGCCAACCATTTTGCCTTTCACCATTGCAGGACATATGAAATGATCAAATAAGCAGTGAGATAAGTTTTATGGAAAAATATTTATACCGAAATATTAAAAGAAATTTTAAACAACCACAGCCCATGCAATATGAATGTTATAAAAGAAATTAGGAAGAAGAAATTTCTTTATTTAAATATCTCAAAATCACAAAAATAATTTAAAACAAGTTTTTGTGTTGAATTTTCCAACTAAACGAATTATGCATTATTATTAAATGGTAAATATTTTGCATTCCTTTAAAAAAATTCATTTACGACAATAATTTGGTAAGCATTTAACGAAAAAATTCTCGATGCTTAATAACCTAAATGGTTGCCTTATTTGTCGAAAAGAAAGTGTTTCTTTAATAAAGGAAACCGACTGCTTTCTTTTTTTTAAGAAATCTCACCACTACTGGTTAAACTCGCTCCGCTGGCTTGTCGCATTGGATAATAAACCAGGGAGGGCCTTGGCGATAGAAATACAGGTGAGTAATGGGGCCAGCATCCGAATCCTTGTAAAGTTTACTCCTGCAGGGAATCGAACCTCAGCATCGGCGCTCCCAATCGAGCAGCAACCCACGGAGCCATCCTATTCCCAATACTAGCGAATACAAATAAAATATAGGAAAAGCATCTCCGCAACACAGTGCAACAATATGTACGGAAAATAAAACAGGAAAGAAGGAAGAAAAATGCAAAAGGTAGTGAATATATTAAACTAAGGGAACGAAGAGAAGAGAAATTTATGTCAAATTATGCAATGGATGTTCATTCTATTTAATTTGTTCTTGAAATCGGATAGCGATGGTGCAAATATTATGTTTGAAGGCGATTTACGATTTAGTATTAGTATTTAACGAATGCATCGAATGAAGAAAATTTATTTGCTTTTTTTTCATTTCCTCGTATCCCCTCTTATAGTATATTTCGTAAAACTCAAATCTCTTGATCCAGACAGTATCTGAAATTAAAATTATAAATCGTATTGTATATGATTTTCCTAATCTTTATTAAATCTGTTTATATTCATAAGAATTATCAAAGTGCATAAAAAAGGATGAAATGAGAATTTTAAATCTCTGCAAAACATATTGAAATTATCGCAAAAAAAAAATGAATAAAAAAAAAATGATTTATACAAAAATAATTTAGCAAAATGTGGATAGAAAGGGTCAGTGGGTTGTGGCTTGACTGGGAGCGCTGATGCTGAGGCTCGATTCCCCACAGGAGAAAAGTGTATAAAAATCCGGGTGATGCTGGCGACTCACCTGTATTTCTGTTGCCAAGGGAATCCCTGGCATATTGCTCATTGTGACAAGCCAGTGGAGCCAGTAATGGTGAGGATTCTTTAAAAAAAAATTGACAATATATTAGAATTAAAACTAAAAATTTAAAAAAATTACAAATGTGCTCTCGAATTCAGTATCGTTCATTTCTTGGCAGAAAATTCAGATAGATGATATAAAGAGATAACTGAAATGATAGACACGACACAAAGTGATAACGAATGAGAACCATTCTCTCATTTTGTACAATACGATAAAAATTTTGAAAAATCATTATAATAGAAAATGAACGAGAATAAATTCAAAAATAAGGCTTCAAAAAAAATGCAATTTATAAAAAACGAAAGCCATGCGATATTGGACGTATGAAAATGCGTGATATCGGACGTATGAAAATTCTTGCGTTTCTATTACCAAAAAAATCTAAAAATAAAACTATGAAATTTTAAATGAGAATTAATTGTTTTTTTTGTGGAATATTATAAGAAAAAATAAAATGCGCAAATAATTCTTGAAATTTTGCGGAGTAAAATCAAAAAATTTGTGAAAATAATTTGTAGGAATAAATTACATAGATGAGATAGTAGATGAGATAGTGACGAGTAACTTGTTGCTTCGGTCATGCTAAGCTATCATAAATTACATGAAGAAAGTAAAACCTAAGATCATATGTACAATATGTATATGTGAAATCTGGAGACGCGCCACTACTTCCACTTCAAAATAACTCCACAGTACCAATAGAACCAACTTCAGTAAAATGAATCAGACAAGTAGCAGTATCAAATGAAGAAGAACAAGAAAAAATGAGAACCTAATATTACTATTCTGAAATAAGAAATGAAAATTTGAGAAAAAATTACTTATTTGCTTGTGATTGCAACCATTTTCAAAATATAGCTCATTCGGATCATAGTTTTCACGGAACTCTTTGGGCATCGTCACTGAATTTTCATCGCGGAGAATGCATTTTCCTTGTTTGATTATAAATGACGCCGACTAGAATTGATTTTTTATTATGGCAAAATTACCTAAGCCAATTTAAAGGCAAAAAATATTTCATTTTTCGTTTTTAGTAAAATCTAATTTATAGATAGATATTTCAGAATAATCCAAATTGATAAAAATTCATTTGAATTTAAATGAAAATAAAAGGTCAAAAGAAAATCGAGTAAAACGAATCATTATGACCGCATCCGATCATTTATTTTGCGGTAATTTATTGATTTCTCAGGTGAATTCGTGAATTTTCATTTTATATAAGAAACCAAAGAAGTTTACATAATAAATATTTGAAGAAACAACCTTGCAGTAAAACTCTGAGGATAAAATGCATAGCTCAATACAGGCTTGCAATCCTGCACGCCCCTCAGGTAAACCATTGTATTGTTCACGAGGCCAAACAGTAAGAGTGAAATCATGGAACGCCATGAACTCGTGACAAGCTTCAGCTGACTTCGATTCATCTAAAAATTGAAATAAAATCTGAAATAGAAATGAAAAGAAGAAAGGCCATTCATTCAACAGCAAATTATAAATATACTTTGGGAGCAGAATAACTCATTGCTAATGGTAGATTATGGTAACAAGAGGCAGATAATCAGAGTCTATCCTATGAAAGGAGTAAACTTATTTGTCATTAGAAAATGTTGGTATCTGAGCCGTGCTTCTGTGCTTCTATGGCCAAACTGCACCGAAATTTCTAATCATACTAATAATAAGCGAAGCTAATCTAACCAGAAACGGTAACCACTTAATCACAATAATTAATTAATGATCTGACTACCTTTCTTAAAAAGAAAAATTCACCTGGAAAACAAAATTTCATTTGTGTTCTAGAATTGAAATTTGTCGTCGGAGATGGTATTAAATTAAGTGATTCAATTGAAGCAGCATTATTGATATGAAGAATACATTCACGCTCAGCATCGAAATAACTAAAAGCAGGACAGTCTCGGCCAGAAATCTGCAGAAAAAAAATTTATTCCATAAATCAGTTGAAGGGGAAAATCCAGACAAACTGACAGTAATAAGATTGCATTTTGCTCTGCATGTGTCGATTGATTCTGCTTTGCTATGTTTTTGTTCTGATTTCATAAAAAGTAAAGAATTTTCGACAGATAACCAAATGGTCCTTTCATTTAATGCGCAAGCTGGAATTTAATAATTTATTAATCAAAAAAATAAAAAAGAAAGGGAAAATTGATGGATTATAAAGGCTGATAAATTGATGAGACATTCATAGAATTAATTAAATCAGTGATAGACAAAAGGACTTACGAGAATAATTTGCTTTGTCAAATTCTGCCAAATTCCCTGGCAGAAATTGTTTACCTTGAGGATTTGGAGTAAGATATTGTTCGAGTAATGAAGAACTGTCAAACTAAAAATGAATAATTATTTGATGAGTATTATGAATAAATATTGGAAGAAAATACACAATATTTTTAAAAACTACTTCAAATTTAATCACTAAAAAACAAGATGAAAACATGGTTATCAACAAAAAAACATAATCAGCAAATTAGATTGCTTTAGTATTTTCTGAAAAAAATTCATAAATACTTGTAAAAAAGTGGTTTCTGCGTTAGTTTGATCTGTAAAGATTTCATCTGGTTCTCCATTAGACTCTTCATCAATTGAGAGGGTCGAGCCAACAGTCTGGAAAAAAAACACACAATAGCAAGAGAGCACGAGAAGTAAAATAACTGGACATCCAAATCCCGATTTGTCAAATATTGTCCTGTCTTCGCTGCTTGAAAAGCACCACAGCGGTATAAATATTTCCGACAGATATTAGATGGATAGCAAGATTTTTCAGCTTAAGCTGAGCACTTATAATCCTGCTGAAATTAATAAAATTCGGAATGGCTCAATGGCAAAATAATTGCCGCCGAGAATCGAAATCTTGACTCGAATCCCTACTCTTTGCCTGACCATTGTTGCCTAACGGAGAAAACAAGAGTGGCTCAGTGGGTTGTCACCAATTCCGAGCACCGATGCTGAGGTTTTACTCGTGGCAGAGGACCTATCCGAAAATTCGATTAATGATGTGGCAAGTTATTTGTACTTCGATCGCTAACAGAACGCCGGCATATTTGTCTAGTGTGACAAGCCAGCGGAGCTAATCTAACTAGTAGTGATGAGTACTCTCAAAAAAAAAATAAAAAGTTGCTTCGCGATCAAGCGATCATAGATTGGACAGCTATTTCTTGAACAAACCGTAAAATGAAACAGGGATGGTAGTGGGAGTCACCTACACTTCTATCACCAAAAACGACTGCCTGGCAAACATTATCTATCTTCTCATAACAAACGCAGTCGGCCAGAATGATTCTTAAAAGAAAAAGAAGGTACACAAAGAGAGAAGAAAGATAAAAATAATTAACAAATTAATAAATAAAATAAATATAAATAAAATGAAAAATAGCAGTGAAAAGGTGCAAGCTTACTCCCTCAATGAATTTTCGTTGTGCGGATGTCTTTGATTGTTTTCTTCTAACATCCTTTTCGAAATTCCATGTAATTTTATCAAAATTCTTCAATTTCTTTGCCTTGATTTCATGAAGCGTAGAATTTGATTTAATTTGCACAACAGGTGATAATGCTGCACCGATAAATGCTTTTGAACCATAAATCGATGCCACAGATGAATTAATAGCTTGAGCTGTCATATTATTCTCATAAGGTTGTTCATCACCCGCCAGATTGCCGTGCTCCAAAATATCGAGCTCATTCAATGATTCACTTCGATTTCCTTGAATAATTGAAATGGAATTTGCTAGTGAAGTGAAAAAATTTCTGGTGCTTCTTAAGATTTCTGTAACTGATTTGATTTCAAGTGGGCGTTGAGTAGTAATATTTTGAAAAATAGGGGTAAAGTTTGGAATAGCAAAAAACGAAGTACTGGCCAATTGTTGCTTCGTAAATGTTATATTCCAATTGCTGCTGTCTACAGGTAGCCGAGTGTATGAAGCGGGCGAAAAGACGGATGTTGCCTTCACGTAATTATCTTAAAATTTAGAAATCAATTTAGAAATATTTTTTAAGTGCCTTCGATGATTTTTTGGAATTCCATTGAAATTTGCAAAATTTTTTCGAAAATTTTTTAAATTTAGTAATGTGAAAAACTTTTGGGAATTTATTTCTGTTATAATTTTTAAGCCTAGTCACGAGCTTAACTTAATTTAGACTTGAGCTTTAGACTTGGGCTTAGGCTTAGCAAGTATTTTCTGAAGCATCCCTAATTTTTTTGGCACAATTTTTTTTTTAAATTTTTCATTAGTTTTATTTTATTTTCGCTTAAAATCTTTCGAGCAAAAATTATAGAATTTATTCGAGCTATAGAAAAGAAGAAAATTTCGATAACTGGCTAACCCAAGCAATTTTTTGCAGTAACTTTGAAAAAGATCATTCGTGAATCGTGTTCAAGATTTTCTTCCCCGCTGCCACCCGGAATATAATGGCAAACATGCAAGAATTTATCGTAAACCACTGACCGGCATCTCGACTATAATCATTTAAGAATTTCGTAATTCGGATACTCAAATTACTAACATTCTTCCCTCTATTGCGAGGATGCACGAATTTCATTTTAATTTGAGTTTCGAAATTTATAAAATTTTAGAAAATTTGCATTTAAAAATTCAAAAATTGCTAATTTTACGGACGATTTTTCGAAATTCTCATTTCTCAGAATTCTTTAAATAAATATCGTATAAAATTTTTAAGCATGAAAATTTCACAATAATGAAATTTCAAATATTTAAAAAATTTTACCAATGAAAGAGCGCAAAAGTGTAAGCAGTCTTCAGCAGTTTTCATTCTCCATTCACTATGGTATGGCTTAGCATTACTTAATTTGAAGCCAAGATAACGTTCAAAGCATGGCTTCAATGCTAAAAAACATACATAGCATATCTGACCAATTAATTAATTGTGATTATTTTAAAACTGTTGTTTACTGTTGTTTATTGCCGTTGATTAGATCTTATCTTTCAATAATTTGAATTACATGGCAAAAATATTGCCTTTAGCACTGAAGATGAACCTAGAAAAATGCCAATTTTCCCGGAATACTTCAGATGGGGCGAGAATTTCCTCGAATAACCGTCTTAGCAGAAATGTCTTCCATTCCTTCCCAACTATATTTTTACTACCGAAATCTTTTAAATTTGGGGCCAGCAACGATTCACTTGCCTACACTGCCACAGGCTTGAATAATTCTAAGTCTAATGAAATATCCCATTGAAATTACTAAGTATTGTTTACGAAAATATGAACATTTTAAGGCAATAAAATAACATAAGCTAAGCGAACTGAAATTAACCGCAAGTGCACTATAAGAATAAATGTTAAATTATTTGAATTGATACTAGAGTAACCAATTTTTCAAATGTTAATCTTTTCATGCCCCAGCAACATTTTTTAAAAGCAATATTTTTGGAATGAAACCGATGAAGCCAATCTGAGAAGTCTGCACCCAAAAAACCGACTTAACTAAAAAAATTCAACGTGAGAATTACCATCACTATTTGGTTCAACTGCGCCAATGTAACTAACAATAAAGAAAGTAATAATCCACGACAGCATTGATTTAGAATATTGGATTGAAGCAGGATTACCAGGAGTAAACCGGTAAGATTTCGTATTCGTCACATATACGAAAATTCTCGACGAACTGACCCAGTTTTACAATGTTTTCAAACGATTTTAGATTTTAGACCAACCACCTGTTTGACCCAAAAATTTCAAAAATATAATGACCAAACCCACCTTAACCATAATCATTTTACGACGATTCAATTAAACAATTAAATAATCCATTGTGTAATCTTTCAAACTACAAAATAACTGACGATTATATTGTTCATTACATTGCAAATAAAGGAAGCCAGGAAAAAGATTCAGAATATAAAACTGATAATTATCAAATCATTTAAGAACTATATATTATTACTGTAGATATGTGTGCTATATAAATATTTATTCATGTTTTTTATGAAAACAATCCATAAACAAAACGAGATTAATTTGAGCCTGATAAGACCCAAACAGTCTGAAAAATTATAAGAGATAATTCAAGAGATAATCCAAAAAATCACTGATCACCGAACTAAAACAAATCAAAGTTAAACTAAAAATTCGAAATATAAACAAAAATTAGCAGGAAAGCATTGATCGTGATCATTTTCCATCGCTACTTCTGTTTAGCACCATGCGAACGCAAGCTTTGCAATAATTAATGGGTGCAATTTATGAACAAGAACGTCATGAAGTATCGAACAGAAACAAAAAACAAATTGTATAATTAAAATTAAAATAATAGAAGTACTGACAAAGAAAAACAGCTTTAAATACCTTAAAACACTCAGTGCAATTATTTCAAAATATGCTGAAAACTTATGAACTGTAACAACAAGACGACAGTAAGACTAACTTAAACAAATTTTTAATATGATTAGGTAAGACTAACTTAAACAAATTTTTAATATGATTTCAATTATGAATTGAAATCATATTAAAAATTTCTGGAATTGAACCATAATTTTGCCATTCGAAATTATCTCCCATTTTAATATAAATAATAGATATTTTGCTTATTCAAGGAAAAAGGAAAGTCGATATTGGCAGCTGCTACCTTTTCTTATTTGGCTATTCCACCTTTAATTTCATTGGCTATCTTCCTTTGACGCTTAAGTTCTTCAGCATCCATTACCGTGCGCAGCTCACCAACAATCTGCTTCGTCTTTCCAAAATATATTTCATTTAAAGTTGATCTTATCTTGCTTTCCATCTCCTAAACAATGATAAAATAATCAATAATAACAAATAATAAAAAAATTATAAAGGAAAAAAGAACAATGATGAAATAAAGACAAAAAAATTGTAAAATTACAACATTATTGAAATGGTACCAACTTCAATCATTTTTCCCATATTAATGAGATGAGTATTACTTGCTTCATTAACTGGATAATCGGCTTCCACCTTTGAAAAAAAATTAGGAATGAATGAAGCTAACATTCACCATTTAACCATCATTCTTTTTTTTTGCAAATATATTAATCAACAATATTTGACAAAAAAATTAAGTTGTCCACCCTAAGATAAATTTTTTTCGAATTTTTCAAAACACGAAATTAATGAAAAATAATGAAAAAAATGCAATAACCAATAATCTGCCAATTCTGCTATAGAAACATGGAAAAAAAAATACAGAAAATTTGAACCTGCCGAGTAACAGATCCACCAAGATTCATCATTCCACTTGCTTGTTTATTCATCTGCAACCACAGCATAACAGTAGTAGTCAGTTTATAATGGGCATGTCGACCACCACCCTAAAAAAAGTAAAATGAGATAAGAAAAATGAAAAATCAATTGAAAGTATTTTTTCGTCAAAGCATGAGCGATTGCTTATATATCTCTCTTTATTTCATTATTATCACAATCATTTTCTTAACTTAATATTTTCTTAACTTAATAATTAAATTAATTTTGTTAAATTTTATCTCCTGGTATCTAAAAGTTGAGGAAGGCTCCCTTGTTAGCTAACATATTCTGCTGATATTGAATTCTGACTAGATCAAACAAAGAACTTACAATCATACTCATCTGAGACAAAAATCCTTATACGGAAAAATAAAATTATCCTAATGTCTGTGAGGAAAAGTATGAATTCTTCAAGATCAAGGACTAGGATTGTGGCTGCCAATGTTCTATGAAGTTTAAGGAAGAAAATGCTAAACTGCCCGAGAGGTCTGCGTATATGAATATCCAGTGCATTCAAGCTTACAGCCATTGCAAAAAATGACGTTCCTTCTGCAAGTACAGAAAATTTACTTGGAAAATAAATACTTTATGGCTTCATTATTATGGAGCACGGTATGGCTGCTCGTTTTTCAATTTCTAAAGGATTCTGCGATTTTTATCAACTTTTTCTTGTAATTTGAACTTTTAGTGAATTTTTTCTAGAAGCGTTAACACACCCAAATAAATGAACTAATATTTATACCGAATTTATACCGAAAATCTGGTTTGTATTTTCCATTTTTGAGACGTGGTGACAATCAGCCAAAATCCTCGCGTTTTGATATTATAAGGAAGGATGGACTGGTACTGGGTTTTCTGGAGATGGGAACTTACTCTAATCTCTTTATCTCTTCTTAGATTTTATTTTGTCTCTAAAGCAAAAGCGTTCACGATATTCCGTCCATCGTCAATATTCCGGTGTATGCATGGTTATCCAATCTAATATTCCGCTTTCAAATATTGATTTTTCACCATCTGATATACACGTGGCTCTAAAGCAATTAGAATCGTGCACTAAACCTGAACAAATGCAATAAATTTTCTGTAATTCTCTAAAAAAATGTGCAATATTTATGTCTATTTCTATCTGATTTTCAGTGATATACTAGATTTTGGAATTAATCTCAAATTTTGAAGACTTTCATATGTAACCCCCGCCTTTAAAAAGGGGGATAGTTTTAATCCCTCTAACCATCGTCCGATCAGCTTGTGTTGGCAGCAGGATGTTAATGTCGAGACATTAATATGTGAAACAACATTCAATTATCTTGATTCAAACAATTTAATATTATCATCTCAACATGGTTTCCTCAGGCAGACACAACCTCCCAGGTATTGTCTAATCTATACAGCTGGTCACTGTCCACTGATCGTGCCAAATGGTCTCAACTGTCTATTCCTAATTAGCTAGTTTTCGGTATAGTTCTGCATGATGAACCAGCAATTATCCTTAATAAATTTGGTACCATGAGTAAATTAACTGAGCATCTGATTATTTAAATTGTAATTCCTAAAAAGGCCGCATCAATAACATTCTGATTTTATTGCAGTTAAATTTGGTGTACCCTAAGAAAATTATATAAGCCATTTGAATTTTTAATGTTAACGTTACGCCACTAAAATTGTTTTGAATTTAAACATTCACTTATATGCTGAAGATTGTAAAAATTTCTTTCACGCTTAGTAGATCGGAGAATTTGAATGTCCTTTAAAAAGATTTAAATAATGTATTTAGCTCCAGGAAAGACAAATTATCGACAGATAAATCTAAAATATTTATGCAAAAGGTTATCTTTTTAACTTTGTACTGATTTGCGTGTTTCAGATCAAAGTCTATTAATTGAGAAAAAGCTTCGAACCATTACGCTAAAAAATTGTCTAAAACCTGATACTTGAAATTTTTAGAAAATAAGTTGAGAGAATTAAAATGATATTCGGCCATTCACATCTAAAGTATAATGGTATACTACTCACACAGATTTAACAAATCCGTTAAGTTAATCGAGGGATTATTTCCCTCGAATATCTCGCTGGTGCTTGCATGCTCTTTTCTATTTGCAGATCCAAAAACTTATAAATCTGAGGTTAATCTTGAATTAACTAAAGGTTGGAATTAAACGAATCTGAATCGAATCTATTTACAAGATTTTGTTTAGCCATATCAACCTTAATTATTCAAATTATTATGAATACTAAAACTGCCGAATACAAAGAAATGAAGTTGTCTTTTTTATCAATATTATTTTTTTCGTCTCACAATGTTTTCGTTCGAAGTGTTAACTTTTTGAACACATTAGTAAAAATGATACTATTTTTACCCCATTCACTCCCAGTTTGAAAAAAATTTCAACAAAAAATCTCATCCACAAAATTACCAAAAAAAAAAATTTGCACCCGTTTTTCAGTATTAAAATCGTCTTCTTTTCTTTTTCTTTTCTCTCTGCTCTGATCTTATTTGTTATTACTAACTTTAGTATGATTTTATATACTATTCTGGCTCATACTTTAATAAAAACTTGAAAGCATTAAGTCGCTACTTTGCATTTTAATAGAAGGTTTGATTACTATAAGTTCATGGGAATAAATTTATCATTAAAAATGGACGAAGGAGAGCCAGGAAAATTGAAAACAGAATAATAGCCGAGTGATATGTTAGTTCCGTAAGCACGGTGTGAGAGTTAGACGCGAGTTAACCAAACCAGCCATTAACAACTGACCCTCTAATAAAGAGTAGAAAAAACTTCATTTAAAATTAGTTATGGACAAACTGATCGTATCAATGCATCTCTTCCCCAAGTGAAGCAAATTGCAAAACATTAATTCCAATGAATATTAAAAAAATTATCACTTTTTCCTGAATCTCCAAAACATGGATTGAATCCCAACATCCTTGTATAAGACGCGAACCATCACTCACTTTTTTAATTAAAACTACTCCAGCAAATCCATGATCCAAATCCCAAAAATAAGCAGATGATACACCACCCTCGAAATATCTACAATATCACCTTTAGATGAAAAAAAAATTAAATTTCCGTGAATTATGAAAATGGGCCTCTATCCAAGGAAGCACAAAAAAAATTGCCCACTTACGCATCTCTATATGCTTCGAAAACCACATTGACCTCATTTTCTAATTTTCTTAACTTATCAGATGGAAGAGCACCATCTTCCAACGGAGGATCATAAGCATTGGTCCAAGGTGACCTGGAAAATTGAAAAAAATTATTTCATTAAAGCTATTTAATAAGATATATGAAATCATTTCACAAATTCAAAATGATAAAAATCATCATAAAAACCATAAAACAAAAAAGATATAATAATAAAAGAATTTTGAACGCATTAAGTAAAATTAAAATCTAGTTTTTCTGCCATGATTCAAAATTTTCTTTCTTGGTACTTACTTAAAAGAATCGTTTAAATTTAAAATCAAAAAACTGATAATCTCTCGCCATTTTTAAAAATAGAATTATATAAAATGGGCTAGAAAATTTGCAAGGAACTTCTAAAACACTAGAAATAATAACAGAAATCGATGAGCATATAAATATTCTGGACTATTATGAATATCAATAAAAACGCTAAGGATGAGCCAACAAAGAAAATTTTAAATCACGGCAGAAAAAAAATAGGAAAAAAATTAAAAACACAAAAGATCACTAGGTTAAAAGGATATAAAAATAAATTTTATATTATATTATAACTAAAGAATTCGACAATAACAAATACAGAAAACCAAAATTATGATCCTGAGACAATGAGAAATAAGAAAAGGACGAACCGATAACTATCGCCATCTCGATTATAATCACATAGCAAATATTCTTTGCCTGTATCCTTATCACGAGCTACTTTTAAAGGCTGATCTACTGCACTTAATAAATCATCAACTAATCGAGGACATAAATCGATCAAATCATTCAAATTCTTCTCCACTTGCTGCGGTGGAAGCCGTCGCATCAAATCTAAGCTACAATCCAACTGTTGATCGCTCTGAACGATTAATAATATATAATTTTTTACAACATTATTTTTTTCAGTACTGGCATAAGTAAAAGAAGAAAAATGGAAAATAAAGGAGATGAATCAGTTTCTCCTCGTGTTTTCATATTTTATACATCATGTGTCCGCCGTAAAAAAAGGATAGCCAATGCAAATTGCGAAAACAGCCAACAGCTAGGAAATATATAACGAGGCTTTTATTCTCATAAATTTTCATTTTAAATTAGATAATTCTAAAAAAAGCCACAAAAGTTAGAAAATATGAAAAATAAACAATTAAACAAAATTTAGAAAAAAAATAGGAAATAAGTTAAATAAAATTTTAATTAAATAAATGTAACCATAATGAGATTATTGCAATCTTCTAGTAATTTGATTATATATATATGAAAGCGATCGTTCGTTTTCCACTTTTTCGTTCTTTTTTTCAATTTTCCCCAAAAAAATAGAAGATTAATTAAATATTATTTTAAAATAAAAATTATCATAAAAATCAACTAATCGACTTTTTAGAAAAGAATAAAAAGCAAATTATAAAAAAATGACAAGAAATAGTGAGAATTTTCAACAAGTTCGATTTCGTTGAAAAAAATCTTAAATTTTGTTTTAACTGAGCACTACGCATAAGTTGTTCAAAGCTTTATAATTGTGACCTTAACAAAAGCTCAGATATTTCATGTCTTCAGCCAAAACTAGATTCACTTGATACTAACTTTTTAAATTAAGAGAAAATAGCCAAAACCTGAGTTAGTTTTAGAGCTGTTAAATCAAGCCTGTCCAGATCCGCCTCATCCTACTTGAACCACCAAATCCCCCACTTCTCCAACCCAACCTTCGACCCCCCGAACACAACTGAAATCTCCTCATGAAGTTTGGTTTGGCCAATGGCCAATGTTCCTGCGAAGAAAATTTTCTGCACAAGATTTTTGGTTGTAAATTTTTTACTAATTATTAGACTAATAACAGCAATGTTTTTTTTCACCATTATTAGTTAAACTCGCTCCACTGGCTTATCGCACTGGACAAATATGCCAGGGAGTCCCTTGGCGATAGAAGTACAGATGAGTCGCCAGCATCACCCATATTTTTGTACAGGTTTAGTCCTGCGGGGAATCGAACCTCAGCATCGGCGCTCCCAATTGAGTAATCCACTGAACCATTCTATCCCACACAGCAATGTTTTATGTCATTTGCGCATTAAATTTTTTTTGTCCCTTAAAAATTTTCTTCCTTTGCGTTATTTCAGAAGAAGATGTGATAAAAATAAAAGAGTTTCATAAAATAGAAATTGGAAAATTAATAAAAATAAATAATAATTAAATCCGAAATAATAAGAAAAATGTGTTTTTTCTTCAAATGGTTATTCCGAAATTTGTTAAACAATTTCAGTGAAAATTATTAGGATAGCCGTCGGCGACGGAGCGAACGCTTGGAGACGCTTTGGCTTCCAGCCAACGGAGCCAACCATAATAGCGAGAGCCGTCGCAGGAAAATCCGGATGATACTGGTGACTCACCTTCTATCGCCAAGGGACTCCCTGACATGCTTGTGCAGTGTAATAAGCCCGTGGAGCGAGTCTTACCGATAATGCTGAGGGGTCTTTAAAAAACAGTGAAAGTATCAGAATAGGGGGAAGAGTATCGAAAATTGGACCAATTTGTTATAATTTTAATATTTTGTCGAATGCAAAAAAAGATTCGGAAAGATAATCTGGCTGTTAAAAGCCTTTTGCAAATTTTTACTAAAGTTGACAATTTTTTTTAAAAAATTGATGTCCAAAACCGGTCGCGTGATACCGCTTTTACAGTATGATTTTTGAATTACCAAAGTCTCGAAACGAATATTTCAGCTGCCAAAATCTACGGTAATGCGGCGGCGTCCACAGTGTTTTGGAATGGCTATTGTTGGGCGCTCTGCGTGTGAAATTTGTATTTAAAATTTTTTCGAAATGTTTTGGTTTTTGCGGTTTTGGTTGGTGGTGGTTGTGGTTCATCTGCAGTTTTTCAGTTTTCACTAATTTTTATTCGCCCGTTTTTATTTTCTTCGGAATACGCGAAAAAGACGGAGGAAATCTGGTTGAAATTTATTTCTTTGTTGCGAATTTACTTTATTTGGTCCTATATAGGTCTTTATTAAGCGATTTGTATGCACTCTTCGCGGTCTTTTTAAATTGCTTTTAGTGAAATTATTGCAGTTGATTGGTATGGAAATTTGAAGTTCAAGCGACTTATTCGAAATTTTTTTCCTCTAAAATTCGGCTCATAAATTTTTCTTTTTGATTATTTGATTATAGTGGTTAAGTTATTTGTTTTAATGTTAAAATAATAGATCATCGTTAATGTCAAATTTTATGGTATATAAGACGAACAGTTTATTTTACAAATTTAGATTCTTTATATTGGATTAAATTAATTCATCTAACGTTTTAGATTAATTTGCGGTTGTTGCGTTTATTAATCGAAAGATTATAATTTTTATGAAGTTTCTCTGGTTATAAGCAAATTTTCTTTTATCCCTCTTTATCTCTTTTCATATTCGATATTGTTTCTTGTATATTTTGGCTGCATAATTTTCTTTCTTTACGTGCGCATGCAGTTAAATTAAGCAGTTCACCCATACTCACTCGCAAAGTGCGTGAAATTTGGAATATATCTCTTTATTTTCTCTTTACAATTTTTTTTTAAATTTTTGTTTTTTGTTCAAAACATCGTTGCTAAGAAATATAACGTATGAAATAATTTGCATTTCCTTACTTTATCGATAAGTTTTTTTTATTTTTCTTTTAATGGTTACTTTTAGGATAAAACTCGAAATCTCTAACGGTTTACTGAATTTAACGTGTAATTATAAAGTGTGAGTGCTGAAAGATTAGTTTGATAAATTTTAAAAGTTTACTGTCTTTGTTCATTCAAAATTGGAGGTCGAAAGAGTAAAGAGGTCGGTCAATTTTAACATAATTTTCTCTTTCTTCCACTCGCTATCTTAATTTTTATATTTTTTTATATTTTCAATAAAATAAATTTTTGCTTTTCTAACCCTTTCTATGGGTAATCATGATCATCCTTAGCCTTGATTTTCTACAGAAGTGTGAGGATTGAGGATTCTGCGAAGTATTTTAGCTGTTCTTAATAGTGCATTCTTCTGGATAGAGATCTCTGATACTGTTTCTGGGATTTCTTAAAGCCATTTTTCTAGAGATCATAGTACTAAGTGCTCCTGTTATCACTGGAATTACTTTGGCCTTTGTATATATATTTATATGTTGTATATTTATACGTTATATATTTCAGTGTGATCATCGTTTTATATCAGATATTGATTCATTGAATACATTAACGAACATCGAAAATCAATTATCGGTGAATAATTCCGAAAGCAGGTACAGTCAAGTGACCACTGATCGCGGTCAGCTTGATCAGTTGTCAAGTGATCAAGACGATTTTATTAAAGTGAAAAAACAAGGTAAACAAAATATTGCAACTGTTTTGGAATCAAATTCTCTTGGAAACTTGGTTAGCTGGAGTTTTTCTTTGGTGTATTTTATTGCATTCTTTAATTTTCATTGACACTGTTTCTGGTCCCTTGACTATCGTCAACTTAGCATTATCTCAAATTATTTTTATGGAAAGAATTACTGGGAACTGAAAGTTGTACCATTCATATTACTATAACACAGAAATAATATATGAAAATTCGGCAGGGCATTAGCCTCGATTCGCATCCTGATAAGATAACCTCTGAGCTTGATATTCATTCAAACGGTTCTAAACCAGATCGAAGTGAGCATTTCTCGCAAAACAGTCACAGTTCAAGAAGAAAAGCAGCAAATATTTTAAGACCACTGTTAAAACGAAAATCAAAGGTAAAATTGATTGCATGGAAAGAATTAATTATTAATATTTCATTTGCTAAATTCTTTGTATTTTTCGAAAGAATTTCATTTAATTGAATTCTATCTTTTTTGTTGTTGGTTAAAACATAAAATATATACAACTAATGACAGTTAATAGACAGATAGTTAAGATTTGTAGTCTTTTTATCTTGAGTATTTTTGTGCGTTCTAAAAAATAATGTATTAAATATGAAATGTATAAAACAAATATATAAAACAAATAATATAAATATATGAATTAGGTAGTATAAATAACTTCTTGGATTTTTAAAAGAACTTAAATTTCAAAAGTGCAAGTATTTGGTGGAATAGTTTGGCATAATTTTTATTTTTTTAAAGTTTTTTTAATTTTGATATCTTAATTTAAATGTTTTATCTTAAATTCTAAAATTTTAGCTATTGTTTACACCTTTTTTTATTTTTATTAGAATTTTGGTAATTTATTAGGTTAGCATCAATTTAAAGTTTTCACCGAAATTTCTTTAAAATTTATTTGAATTTCGGCATGTCGTTATTCCTTTAGAATACATCTGGCAGTGATTCGACTGCACAGAACGACGAATCGAGAGATCAAGAATTGAATAATTCAACAGTTATGAAACGATGCGCATCACCATCTGATGAAGATGGTGAAAAACACGCTAAAGCAATGGCAGTATCATGCAATGGTGAAGTTCCAGCCAATGGCAATGATCCCGTTAGTTCTACACCTTATATTTATTACGAAACATTTTAAGTTTTGAAGAAGAAAGTTTTATTCGATTTTGCTACTTTAAATTTTTCTTTTAATTTTTTAAAGCGAAGGAATTTGTGTATTTTAATTCACCAGCCGTTCATATTTTTCGACTTATAGTATATAGTTATATATAACCATCCTTTTTTCTAATTCTAAATTTTCTTATTTCTTTTTTGATGTTAGGTTTGAAACTTTTTTAAAATTTTAATTATGTTCAAAGCTGTAAAACAATTTTTGCTCAGCAAAAGGGCCAAAGCGATTAATTTTTGGGTTATTTGAATATTTGAATAGAATTGGAAATAAAATTATTTGATGTATGGGAATTTAAACAAAAATTCAGAAACAGCGATTTTTTCTCCTTTTATCTTTTAAGTCTTGAATGGTAAGTTATGCTTTTAATGATTTTTCGATAGTAACAATTAACAGTGGCCTTATTCGAAAATTGAAAAATTTGACTTTGGCTGTCATAGTTTCCATTGTTTCTCGGTTTTTATCGAGTTTTTTCTGATTCATATTAAAATTTTTCTTCATTCTGTTTTATATGCTTTTTTTTATTTCAATATGTTTGAATATTTGATTTCCTCTAACTTTTAATTTTGATTGATTTGGAAAATTCATAGATTATTATTAGATGACTGGTTAGTTTTTTTCCTTAGTTTTAGATTATTTCTTTATATTCTGTGTTTTATTTAATCCTTTTTTGGAGCGATTGGAGCGCATAATATCATATAATTAATGAAGGGAACTTTTCAAATTACTTTTTTAATATTATTTGGAGCAGATATGCGAGTTGATAAGCAATTTGAAGAATTTTCTATGAAAAATGTAAGGCAAAGTGTCAATAGAAATTTCCATCCGTCATCATTTACAGTTTGAATTTTTTTAAAACGTATTAACTTTAGTTGTACATGAAAATTTCGTCGAATCTTTAACTTGGGAGTTTTCGGTTTTCGACGATTCTTTCTTGTTATTTTTGTTTCAACTGTTCAACTGTTCAGGTTCACCAAAATTCATTAATTTCTCTTAGATAATTCAAGGGAATATTTTTTTCATTATGGAATAAACTCAGATAAGTGAAAAAAAAGTATATTCAAATAAAATGAATTGCTAAAAAAAGAAAAGTATTGATTTAATTTTAAAAGTATTGATTTGATAGTTTTCGTTTATAATATTTGTTTTTTCAAATATATATTGCTCTTTGTAGATCATTTTTCCCCACTGGGTAAATATTTTTGCTATTAAATTTTTCGAAATTTTTTAATCTTTATTTATTCATTAGGTAAATGATCCCTTAATTTTAATCTCGAAAGGTGACAACAAAGGAAATAATGGGAATTTTAAATTTTTAGTTTAATAAGCTTCTTTAGTGGTTAACATTAATGGTAAATCTATGGACGGCTGAATTTTAGTATTTGTGATAAAGAAATTAAAATAAAGTGTTCATTCCTAAAATTTAAAAATTATTAAAACTTACATATTTTTTAAATTAATAATAATTAATTAATTAATAATTAGGCTTTTAATAGTTTTTTAATTGTGTTGTGAAGGTAACGAGAAAGATTTGTTGTAAGACTTTATAAAAAAGTAAAAAAATAAAAAGCATGTTAAGTATTTATAGTAATTGTGAATAATTAATTCCAGGTTCCTACTTCATTATCTCGCTTAAAACCTTTGTCAAGTTCAGTTGTGCCGGGTTCATCTAATATGCACATTGAAAGTAACGGTAGTATTGAAATGAATGAGAAAGTAAATAATGGAAAAAGCGTGCAGTATCATGACCGAACAAAACTCAAAGTCCCATGTGAACGTATTGCAATTTTAGACTATGGTGCACAATATGGAAAGGTTTCTTTAATCGTCAGCCGTTTTATTTTTAAATATATCATTGTTTCTGTAACCTATAATCATTTCTTCCATTTTTCAACTCTTTGATTGATAATAAATTGAAAAAGGTTCAAAGCGCTAAGATCTTATTTTCATTTTTGTTCATTTGTATTTATTCATAAATAATTTGCTCTTAACCTTAATCTCATTTGAACAAAGGAAACGAATAGGAATTTTAAATTTTTAACTTAATAAATTCGTTTTTATTTTATTTTTGTTTGCAGGTGATTGATCGTAGAATTCGTGAAATGAACGTAATGAGCGAGATATTACCTTTCTCGACTACTGCTGATGATCTCATTTCAAGGGGAGGTTATAAGTGAGTTTTGCGAATAATTTTTTAGTTTTTTAATCAGTTTTTTTTCGATTTTCGTAAATTGGTTGCAAACATTAATAAATCTTTTCAGAGCTATTGTGATTAGTGGTGGTCCACATTCTGTGTTTGCGGCAGATGCTCCTCCATATGATGCATCTCTTTTTTCTTGTGGGTTGCCTATTTTGGGAATATGTTACGGGTTCCAGGTCTTGTTTTTTATATCATTATGGATTGTAGATTTATAATCATTTTTGTTAATTTATCTTTAATGTTCTGTATTCTTTATAGTCGAAGATATTTCAGTTGATTAATAAAACGTTTGGAGGTAATGTTACGAGGGAAGCAGTTCGTGAGGATGGACAGATGAACGTAATTTTTTTAATTAATTAAACAGCTTTTTTTCCATTTGTAAAATGGTTATTTTTGAAGGATATTGCGCTATTTTTATTTGTTAAGTGAATCAATAAAAGTAAAATGTTAAGGCCTCAGAATTCTGTCGTTTTTTAACCTTTTTTTCTGTTACTTATCTTAAATTTTCTTGCATTTCTTGCATTTTTTGAGGCTATAAAATTTAATAAAATTGAAGATTGATATCGATATTTCTTGTCCACTGTTTACTGAATTAAATACTCGGGAAACAGTAATGCTTACTCATGGTGATAGTGTATTGGAAAATACCGTAGCAAATGATTTAAATATAATAGCGAGAAGTGGAAATTTAATTTCAGGTCACTTATGCAATTTTTATTTTATTTGAATTATAACATTTTATCTTTTTTATTCCATAATTTAGCAGAAATTTGCCATTATGTAATAATTCATTTTTTATCGATTTTTTAATGAACTTTTATGAAAAATGACTCACTGGTGAATGATTGTGCAATGTATTTTCAGGAATAGCTCATAAAGTTCTTCCTATATATGGATTACAGTTTCATCCTGAAGTCGATTTAACGATTAATGGAAAAAAAATGCTGTATAATTTTTTGTTCAGAATTGCAAAACTTTCTGGTGATTTTTCAATGGGAAGTAGGGAACAACTATGCATCGATGAAATTCAGGCGATAGTCGGTGATAAAAAAGTCTTGGTTAGTATCTTTATTTACGCATATAAATAATGCTGTTGAATTCGCTGTCCATTTACTTAAAAATTCAAAAGGGAGCGATTAAAGTTATCGGTCATTTAGGTATTGGTCTCTGGAGGTGTCGATTCAACTGTTTGTGCTGCTCTTCTCCATAAAGCAATTGGTGCTGATAAAATAGTTGCTATTCATATTGATAATGGTTTTATGCGTTATAACGAAAGTGAAAACGTGGTCAAGGCTTTAAATGGACTCAATTTGAATGTGCACGGTTAATTTTTTTGTTTATTTTTTTACATTTAAGTTTATAATATCCCCTTAATGTATTATAACTTGTTTTATTTTTGATTTTGTTTTTAGACTATTACTGTGGCCGAGAATTTTTTAATGGGAAAATATCAATAAATGGAGTGGAGTCATTACCTCTTTCTCGAGTTTGTCAACCTGAATTAAAAAGACGAATTATCGGTGATACTTTCATGCAGATTAAAGACCGAATAGTGGAAGAGGTTGGTTCATTTTTAATGATTAATAGTTAATTTTTTAGCATTTATCATTAATATTTTTAGATGAAATTGGAGAAAGATATATTTTTGGCGCAAGGTACATTAAGACCTGATCTTATTGAAAGCGCATCATCGGTTGCTAGCTCGATTGCAGCAGTTATAAAAACTCATCATAATGATACAGCGCTGGTTCGAGAATTGCGCAATTTGGTTAGTCTGTTCGTGATTCAAGCTCTAATAATATGTTTTTAGTCTTAAAATTTTATGCCTTATATCCATTTATTATTAAATTGAAATGAATTAATCTTGGAGATTTGCATTTCTAAAAATTTTGAATGGATTTTTCACGAATTCATTAAAATTGAAGGGAAAAGTCATCGAACCTTTAAAAGATTTTCATAAAGACGAAGTGCGAGAACTAGGACTATCTTTGGGTCTTCAGAAAGAACTCGTTCAGAGGCATCCTTTCCCTGGTAATTTTATTACGTCTATGTATAACTTCGTAATGGTACTCAGAAGAGTATCGAATTTCGTATTATGTAGAAGTAAATTGGAAAAACGTAGAGTTCATGTTGTTTTTATAGGTCCTGGCCTTTCAATTCGATTACTTTGCGCTGAACAACCTTATGTTGATGACATAGAATCGTTTCTCGTTACTCAACATCATTTGAAAGTTATTGCAAATCTGCCACATGTTGATGAAGATGTGTGCATTTTAATTATTTTAAATTATTTGAAGTTATATATTTGCAAGTTATATATTTTTCAAAACTTTGAATAGAATGATTTAAAATTTAAGTAAGAGTAAAAGTAAGTTAAAGTTTCCTTGTAAATTTAGGTAAAATATTTGTCGATTATTTCATGGGATATATTTAATCGATTGGTAATTATGGATGATGAAAATAGACTTAAGTATTTAAGAGAAGTACAATGAAAAGTATAGTGAGAAATAAAATATTTAAATATTGAATACTGAATTAGAATGGGTAAACGGATGTTTTGCTTTTGCTTAATTCGGAGCGCTAATGCCGAAGTTCTAGGTTCTACTCCCAGCAAAAATAAACCTGTCCAAAAATCAGGGTGATGCTGGTGATTCACCCGTACTGCTGTCGCATCCTCGGTATATTTATCTAGTGCGACAAGCGAGTCTGACCAATATGGTGAGGTCTCTCAAAAAAAATGCTGAATACTGAATAATATTGAATAATATCAATCTGCATTGCTAATAGTAATAATTTAGTCCGAAGAATATAGAATTTTGGCTCAAAATCTCTCTCCTGTTCAGTTAAATATATTAACTAATCATTTGTTTGAAATTGGAACGACACTTTTACCTATTCAGAGTGTTGGAGTTCAAGGTACTTGATTAACTAATATCTTTCTCTTTCTTAATTTTGATTTATTTTTCTTTGCAAAAGCTAATTCTTAAGGAAAAATATTTTATATTTTATATTTTTCCTTTGTGTTTTTTTTTTGTTTTTTATTTCACTCGTGTAAATGAATTAGATTTAAAATCGTTTAGGTGATGATAGGTCATATTCATATGTAGCAGCTTTGTCAACCAGTCACCGTCCTGTTCCATGGCAATTTCTCGAATATCTGGCTCAGTTGATTCCTAGACTTTTACATAATATAAACAGGTATTTGCTCTAATTTGCTTAATTTTTTCATTCAGATCTTGCTTATATTGAACAAATCGTTTTAGAGTTGTTTATGTATTCGGTGATATCGTGGAATATCCTATCAGTGATGTAACACGAACATTTCTGAATCCATTCACAGTTTCATTTTTGCGATGGGCTGATCGTTTGGTCTATGATGTACTATGCGGTTTGGATGAAAATCAGCATCCTGACCCATCGCTTGAAAATTGCGTTGATAAAATTCAACAAGTTAGCTTTTTTTCTTAGAAAATTTCTTTTCATATAATCTTAAATTTTTTTAAAATTATGTGGGTTATATGAATGTGAATAGATGATATGGTCTATTTTTTGCAGATGCCTGTTGTTATGATTCCTATTCATTTTGATCGCGATCCGTGCGAAAGAAAGCAGTCGACGTTGCGTTCATTTGTGTTGCGTCCATTTATTACAAGAGATTTTATGACTGGGGTGGCTGCCTTACCTGGTCGTGATATCCCTGAAAAGGTTGGTGATACTATCGGTGGTACTATTTATTTATCTGCTTTAATGATTTTATTGTATATATTTTGAAGTATTGACTATTTTTTCCATTTTATGAAAAAATTTTTAGACAGTGATGGAAATGGTTAGTCGTTTGAGTCGTATACCCCTGACTTCTCGCGTAATGATCGATCTCACCTCAAAACCACCTGGAACGACGGAATGGGAATAAGTTGCTGAGTAATAGTAATGAATCTGATTTAATTGATTTTAAGACTTAATATTGCTTAATTTTGCCATTATTTTATTGTTTATTGATTAGCGTTGGACAATGTCGTTTTAAGTTTTTTCATATATAACCATTATTTATTGGCATATTTACATCTGACATTGTTATACGTTGGTTTTTTTGAATTTTTTAATTACTATGGTTATGGTTCATATATATGATGAATTGTTTGTATACATTTTAAATGGAGTTCATGATTTTTGGTTTTCATTTGGATTTTGGCCATATTGGCGTAAACCAATTCCTATATTTTTCTGATCTGATTTATGTTTTTTATAATTTTTCTGTTTTTTTTACTTTTGGTATAAAATTATATATCTGCTTCCATCACGTAAAAGAATGTCTGCTTCCGGAAGGTATTGATTGACGTTTCGTGAACAGCTTAAAAAATCGTGAGAAGCTTAAAAAAATCTTTGTAAAAAATTGTTTATTAAATAATTTTCAATTCGAGTATTCGGTTTTGTTTTCGATTTTCATTATCTCGGCACGAAGTAATTTTACAGAAATTAAGAAAAATTAAGAAAAAAAAGAATAGTGCAAAGATCATCGGATAATATTAAAGATTAATGATGTTTAGATTCAATAAAGATTAACAATGAGGTGGTACAATGGAGAAGAGATATTCGATTCGAGCAAATAAGTTGTTGGAAAAATGGATTATTTTCAGTCCGAAATTTGCTGTTGCTTGGGAAATAGAGAGTGACAAACGTTGCTGCACCTCCAGTGTAATGTCATTTGTATTACAAGTAGGAACTCGTTTTATATGAAGTGTCAAAAAGTGTCAAAAAGGTGTTTTAAATGTGAACCTGAGGTGTCGCAGCTTTTTAAAATAGATGAGGTGATTTTCACGAATTTTGTATGGTTAGCGGAATTCGTAAAAAAGAGGATTTGATTGATGTTATTCATTTAGCAGCTAATGGAATTTTATTAGGAACGAATCTAAGCGAATAGTAATTTCATTTTGTTTCTTTTCTCCTTTTCTCTTCGATTCGTTTTGTGAAATATTGTTGTATTATTGTGTACAATATTGAAATATTATGCAAAACGGTCTCAAGTAATTAATTAAGTAAACCATCAAAATAAAGGATATCACTAGAAATTAAGGATGAGAAATTATCGAAAAATTAATATTGCTGCATATTTAAAATATTTATTTATAGACATCGGTCAATGCCTTCCATCAAGTGCATCCAAATATTTATAGTCAATTAAACGCGGAATTAATAAATGTCTGAAATCTATGGCATTAGGAATAGCAATTTTTTAGTTATCATATCACTGCTCTTTAGAAAATTGATTTTGAATATTTTAAATAAATTTCTACTTTTCTGTCTTCAACATTACCTGAATTTCGCCTTTAATGGTCGCCTTTAATTTGTTCCCGCCACAAAGTAGGAATGGAACTCACAACTTCGGCCGAAGCAATGTATATATATATATATATATATATGAATAATAATAATATATAGTTTGCTGAGATTTTATTTTCTGATATAATCGGGATTATTTGAAATAAGGCGAAGAAAGCCTATTGAAACGCGCATTTTATTTCTTTTTTATATGCAAACCTGTTTGGCAAATTTATAGAAATTAAAAAACTGAAAAAATAACCTTATTGGGAGAAAGAAAAAACAAACAATCGGAAAAACCATTTCAATAAAAGGATGCGGGGAGAAACCGAATGCACAAAGGATAACAAGTTGCAATAGTTGACAGCCAGTGAAAAGATGAACCTTGCGTTGCGGTACCTTTCGGATATAATGTGTTGGAGGATAAGCTTGCTATAGAATCATCAACAATTAGTAGTTAAGAATAGAATAATTTTATGAATTCTGTTATTTGCTGGAAGGCCAGATTTATGAATTTTATTAATTATCTGAAGCTGGCAATCGTATTAATTTCTGTGTTTTTCAACTTTATTACCTATTTTTGTTCCTTTTTAGGAGATCAAAAAATAAAATATTTTTATTGAAAATTTTTTTCGTTATACTTATTTAATTTTTGGAAATTTAAATTGTAAGTATATTTGACATTTTAAATAAATAAATGGTTGCTTCAAATATTAATTTAGATTCACCCACCTGTTCGGTGATAAGCAGTAGCATTCGTTCAACCATTTCATTACCTGCTAATGAAGTTAATGCCATATATAAAAAAAGGCCATGTAATACTGATGTCGGTATCCATCGCAATGGATAAGGTAGAAGGGTATAACAGGAAATAAGTATTAAAATATGAGCTATAAGCGTAGCAAGTCTTGTTTCACGAACATTCATTATCCTATAAATATCCACTGCTACCGTGGATTTCAGTTAAAAAAAAATTTTTCAAATCTAGTGCAGTCTTATTTTGATGATGAAGTTAAGGTTTCAAGAAATAAGTATTATAAAGGTGATTTTGTTAAAATTTTATCAAAATTATCAAGATTAGAAAATAATTCCGCATTAAATTCGATATCTAGCGAAGATTAATAAATATAAGATCCACATACACTTCATGAACATGTCCCTGAAGAACTCGCTCTTCAACATCAGCTAAAGCCCGCAAATGAAGAGGTGAATGTGGAAGTGCTCCATGCATCCAAGGTAATCCCATCACCGATAAAAAACTATTCAAAACTGCAACTACAAGTAGGTCGAGGTTTTGAGCTGTACCCTTTTTTAACCTGAAATGTATTTTAGCTATAAAACGCCATTTCCATCATTCCCATCTACCTAATACTAATTTTTTAACATCTCCTTATTGTCTCATATGAGGTTTACTAAAGGATATAGAACTTCGAGGAATAACTTCAAGAATAATCAAGAATAATAAAATATTATCTTCCAACTTCGCAAATGATGATAGTTTTAAAAAATATAGTAAATAATAAATCTTTGAATGATTTCGTTATCTATGCAATTAGTATATGTTTCTGATTATGCTAACTCCTTTGGCCATGGGAATGAGTCGACCAGTCGAATTTTCCGTGAGGGTTTTTTTTACTCTTGTCATAAAACATGAGCCACATTACATTAAATAAGATTGATAATAAAACATGAGCCACATTACATTAAATAAGAATGATAAATTTAATGATAATGATAAGAATGAATCATTGGAAAAAAGAACGAGAACTTACTTATTCTGTGAATTATTTACAATAGCAGAGGCAATATTTTGGTCCATAAAAAAAAGAAATGACAATGAAAAACCCAAAAGTAAACAGACGAAATAGCCCTGCCAGGGTAGCGAAAAAATCGGAGCAATTGCAAACGTTGCTACATTTTCGCGCATCTTGAATTTGTCTTCTAAAATATCTCTTTTTACAAATTTTTTATATTCATGTGATACTTTTAAATTCTTTCTTTGTTGCTATAATAATGATATGATTTAATTTTAATTTAATTTCTTAATATTAATAGCTATAATAAGAAAACACTCATAATTTCTTCTCATGTGAGTCCTTGGTGAAAGTTTCTAATCATACTAATAACAAGCGGGGTGAGATAACCACCAAATTTCTAACTGTAATTTATTTTGTTCTAGCAGCTCGCACCACTATTAACATGGTTTATTCTTCTAGCTACTTGGGTAAGTTTTCAAGTCTCCCAGTCCGATGCCATTCATGAAAATAATTGAAACATCGTCTAAACTCTTGTGTCGTAGAACCAACTAAACATCCAAAATCTGAAGATATTGAAGAGATCTGATCGTAATCGGTTCAGGCCATTGGTCCACCTCGCTTTTGATGCTATTCACCGCGGGATTTAGCAAATAGCGAGATGCGTCAATTCCTGTGATAGAAGCGAAGAACATGAGTAAACCAACATATCCAATGCTTTGTGACAATGTTCTTAATGTATACAATATTCCAGCAAAGCTGGATGCAATCATGTAAGATTTTGCCCATTTGGCAGGTAGTAAATGTGTATGGTCAAAGGCAAACAGCTTTTTGATATCTTCCACTTTCATTGGCCAAATTTTGCAATAGTATGGCAAAACTGTACGTATTGCAGCCAAATGTAAGTTTTTTGAGGCTCATTTCGCAGCAATTCGAGAGAGGCTTCCTTAGATTAAAGAAAGCATCTCTGGCTGCAGCCATTCATACTGGAATTTTGTCTTTCGTCCAGCTGTTAGGTAGGAGAGTGAATCCGAGATATTTAAAATTTGAATTGCTTTGATAGAGCGATAAGCATTTCCACTTAATATTGAAAATAACGAAATCGTCAATATTCATGGTAAAAAACATAGGAATAGATACGAATAAATATGATAATTTCAAAAAATATTAATGGTTAATTTGGTCTAGAATAAGGAAAATAAGGAAAAAAATAACAGACTTTCAATATCAAAGAAGCAGTATGCACCCGTAAATGACATAATAAGAACAGAAGCTGGTAATGCATAATCAGCTAACCATTCTCTTCGAGAGCGAGTAAGATAAGGTGTCTTCCTGAAAGAACGAAATAATTTTGCCTTATTTGAAAGCAATATCATTAAGGATTTATTTAAATTTCCTTTATTAGCGCAATTTTACTGAGAAAATTTGTAAATCAAATTAATTAATTTTAATATTAATTAATTTTATTTAATTAATTTTAACAAATTAATTAATTTTATTTATTATCTAAAAATATTTGAAAATAAATCTTCATAAGAATTTGAGAAATGAGAGTTGTAAAAAATAAAATCCTATTTTTTTCATTAGCCATTTGAAATAAATTTTAAAAAAATACCTGAAGTTATATAAAAACAATCCCAACCATAGGGTTCCAAACATTAGCAACATATATAAGATAGAAGTGTCACGATGACATGGATGCAAATAAACCTGTAAAATTTTAAAGTCTTGTATGCAAAACAAAACAATTCAAATGGATTTTAAAGCTTTTAGTTTACTAAAAGTACGAGATTTAAGATCAAGAAGCTGGTAAATCTTTTCTTTACTTCTTGCTCGAAACATTCGAACTCATCTTCAAAAAAAGTCTAATAAGGAATGATGCTTATTAGATAGAATTAAAGTTACTTCTACAGGATTCGTTGATGTATTTATATTATCAACGACAGCTGCAAAGAATGGTACGATATTTGCGCGTAAATCATTGAATGGATTATCATCCGATTTTTTCCTCGTACTATTTTCATCACAATTATGGTAATTATTCATGAAACCTTAAATTTCCTTCTTTGCAGTTTTATTTTATTGGCAGCTGGAATTTAATTTATAAAATTAGTAATAAAATTAAAAACAGCTTATCTGTGCTTACTCGTATGAAGCGCCCTTATACTTTCCACTGTAAATGCTATTGCAATGAATAACGAAAACATTTCTTCAGCAGACCTAAAATCAAATAATAAAAATCGTTAAGTTTTCTACTCCTAAATATTTTCCATTCATTTATTTTAAAAATAGAAGCAAAGAGATTTGTGGATCTTAACAAATGGCTAACAGATAATATTCATCACATCAGATATTTACGAACAGAGAAGACAATTTTTTTGATTTTAAAGAAGAGAAAAAAAAGAAAACGAAAATTATGGAAATTAAATAATTTAGTGGAATTTATATGGAGTGAACTACTTAAAAATAGGTGATGAAATCGTTTTTGCATCCAAGAAAATCGTAATTTAAAATAGGGATAAAATAAAGAAGATGAAGTGGGAATTTATGATGTTAGAACGTACTTTTTACTATGTGAAATATTTTGACTAAATGATCATATTAATCAAGGTAATTGGCCTGCTAACCTGGTAGCCAGTTTCATAAGACTGCACATTTCAGTAGATGCATAAATTATGAGGAAAAATTGACACCACAAGCCGACACAAGCATACATTGCAAAAAAATCATAACCAAGTTCTTCTGATATTTTGTAAATCACTGAAAATTTCATTTCTTTTGCAGGTGTTATCGATTAGCGATATCCGCATACTGTATTATTTGCTCTACCGCACTTAACATTCTGATTGGCATTCTCCACTGACTAATGAAGGTGAAATCCTTAGAGAATCACTTAAGGATGAATGGGATATAAAGGGGCCTACAGCACCACAAGGATTCAATCTTTAATTACAAGGTCCATTATCATCAAGAAGTATGAACAAAACCATGATTCTTGAACTGATAATTTAAGCAGCACACCGTACTATTTGATTAAATTATCAAGGTCGCTTAGGATTAATTTGTTCTACATTTTCATTTATAGAAAATGTACACATAGGTTATATAGTAACTAAGCTAGTCGAAAATTTTCGCAATTCGATTAGTTTTTATCGCTGCAAATAAATTCCGTTAGTAAATTTACTATATTTGTTGATATAATTTGGGCTAAATAATCAAATCATGTGTTTTTGCGAGAAATTTTATTTAAAAATGGTTAACTAATATTTGGTCAAATTTCTGTAATTTTTTAATGTGAACATTTACTATACTAAAAAGCAAGAAAAATAGTTAATTACCTTTTATATAAATTGCGAGAGGAACTGTTGTGAGCAAAATAATCATTGGCTGGCCACCGAGTATTGCAAAAAAAATCCCGCCAAGTGCTTGAGCAATTATTACTTTACGGACATCTGAATTGGCAAATTATTGAGTTGGGAGACTGTGAATGGTGCAATGGCGTGCGGATGAAGATTCATGCTTGCAAATCTTCGAATCTTCCGATCAAAGTGCCATTAAACCACAAAAGAGTATCTAGCTGATTCGATGGAATCAAATCCACACTTCTTGTATTTATTTATTTATTTACTTTCACTAATTTTATTGCATAAAAATAAAATTTTGGTTGAAAAATAAAATGATGGATATTAGATTGATTGTCTTCAAAGCATAATCATGTTTAGTCGTCAACTTACTTATATTTCCTTCAGTATTATCATCATTGAGTACGCCGAAAGCTATTGCAGGTAGAAGACATGCAAAATATAAGAAAACTATTGAACTGAATAATTTTTGTATTGTTTTTGGACCACGTACACCTGAAAGTGAATTATGTTTGCCGTTTCTTCAATTGAAAATTGTGCTCTCAAAAAAATGATTTCGATGCAATAAAGGAATGTATCGCCCATGATTGAATCAGTGGTGAATAACAGGGATGGAAATCGATAGTATTATGTCTAACAAACAATAAAATATTTATTTGATTATTTTTTCAGATGAAAAACTCGTCGTTCACAGAAGGATAGGGAAGGATAGAATTAAGGTGGGTAAGAAGGAGATAGAAATAAGATAGGACGGATGGGATAGAGGAAGGATACGATATATGAAGATGGTGACTGATGCAACAAGATATCTGCATTTCTCTTTTTTTTTCCATATTAACTTTCAGATTTTCCTTTTTTCTTCATTTCTCAGTGAATTTTATTCCGTTAATTTTGCAGCTAAAAAAAAAGAAGAATGAAAAATTTCGTTTAATAGTTTAGTATTAATTTAGGATGTTTTAAATATAATGAGTTGCTCAAATTAAAGAAATAAATAAACTATAACTAAACTTTCAAAGAAAAGAAAAGCAAGATTTGATACATTTCTAAAGTTGGCTTGATTTTATTAATCCTCTGATAGGGATAGAATGGCTTAGTATTCTTACTTCTTAGTGCCGACATTACTTGTCTTTCACAAATTCGAGTGATGCTCATCTGTGTTTCTAGCGTGTAGCGCCAAGTGACTCCTTGGCAAAAGCTGTTATCTGATCTGACTAGTCAGTGGAACGAATCTAACCAGAAATGACAATCTTACGAGATTATAAAAATATTTCAATAAACAAAATCCTTTCTCTCATCGTCTGTGACTTTTATTTAAATTATAATCATTAGAAGCTATGTTTTCAAGATTTATAAGTCTATTTGTAAATTTAAAACGGTCAGTTTTGTTGTTAACACTGTCAATTTCGAATAAACTATCGAGCCAAGTATTTTTTCAACATCTACAGCTAATTCAAACGAAAATTAAAGAATATTTATTTAAATAGAATTTGGCCATTTCCATTCATTATGCTTTAATTCAATTAATATTAGTTTATTTTCGATATTGAAGACATATATGGTCTTGCTTATGGTCATGGTTAAATATTTTATTTAAATTTATAAATATTTAAACCGAAAATAGAAAATTCGAATCATCGTTCACTCGGTTACCTTGCGTAATAATTATTAAAACAAAAAAAAAATTAAATTGAATTTGAAATTTGCAAAAAATTAACGGTAGAAGGGAAAATTGGATGGCTGGTCATTTTGCTATTAGGTCTGCGAGAACACATGCAAGAAATTTCTTTCACATGCAAAGATCTTTCCTTCTTATTCATATTCGAAATGTGCAAAAATCTTCTTGTTATATTCCAACAAGGGCATTTTTCCAGTATTTGATAATTTGAAACTGATATTTTAATAGATTTATCTAATAAAAAACGGAAATTTTCAGTTAAGTTTTTTGTTAAAACAAAAGCATATCTTTCATTCGTTTTCATTCATTTCACTTTAAGTAATTGTAATTTCCATAAAAAAGGAAGAGAAAAATGACGTTATACAGCGAGTTAAATGGTAATAATATAAATAAAAAACTAGCCATCTAAATAATCTGATCCATAATATTTCAACCGCCTTAGAAAATCATTTTTTAATCCTCGAAATGGGTACCATGATCCAGGTCCAAACTGAAAAAAATATTTTTGGTATTGGCATATGTTGACGAAAGCTTGCACCACTAAGAATAATCAGATAGATTGACATTTTAATTAAGTGGGTATAGAAGATTCGCTCAATATTCGGAAAAAATTTGAAAAAAATCTCACCAACTGTTCTTTCGCTTGACTAAAGTGAATCGATGTCTTTCGTTCCCTCCATTGATTTTGATCCACTGCTAATTCCTTTGCAGCTGACAGCAATGTTGACCTTTAAATATATTCGGTGGCCTTCACAAATATCTACTAAAGTGAAAAGAAAGATATTTTTTTAAATTAGGCTTTCATTATAAGTTGCAAGAGAGATCGAATCCATAATTTTTAACCTTAGACGAAAGCTTGCACCATTGCACTTCCTGGCTAAAGTTCCTATCTTAGTTACTTCATGTTTTAGGCTCCACTGGCAATTACTAACGATTTCATTAGAGAACCTTTGGATATAGAAATAGCAGATAGATTTTTAAGACCATCAAGATTTTTTAATTATTGTTTTATTCATGCTAAGAGCCAGAGCCATGATGCTTGATAAACAATAACTACTCTACTATTAGGAGCTGTCAATTTATCAACCATACACATATCTTCATATTTCATCAATTTTTTATTTACTTATTTATTTGTACCTGAATTGTTCGACATTCTGTGCCATAACAAGCCTTTGTCTTATATCCATATCTGCAAAAAGCGTTGCGAATGTTCTTGTTGTTTCCAAAGCTGTTTTCGTTCCCTTCTGAATGCATGCTATCTTAATTCTTCATTAACAACCTTATTACCATAGTGCAAAATATAAATGAAAAAAGTGGAAAATTTTTGAAAAGCCTTAAATTATTTACAAAATTGAATTAAATTTCGAAGTTGAATGATAGCTAAAAAGTCTATAAATATTCGCATATAAACCATCGCATTTGAGCACTTTGTTGTTGCTTCGATTATTGCCGGCTTCTGTCTCCGATAAGAAAAAATGTGCCATCAAAAAATTCGGTTTAGAACACTAATATTTTTTCTCGGCAAAAACTTCGTACTGCACTATAAACCACTGGAGCAAGCCTAATCATAAAACCCTACTATTTAAACCCTTTGAATTTTATCCAATTCAGATATAAAATGAATTTAGTTTTTGAATAAATTGGACGAAAACATACGGCACGAGATGGGGCAATAACAATTATAATGAATCGTAAATCTTGCATAGTCCGGCCAAGGTTAGTTGGATGGCTAAGCCTAGCGATAGCGACATGCCGATGTTGTACTGTGTTTAACATACATCTGTAAAATTATACTATTAAATACTAAAAAAAAATTTTTTTTGGTGGGACTTGGATTTGGATTAGCAATTTGATATTTTATAGAAAGGCTGCAGGTAAGGTAAACAAGCTGATAAAGGGCAATGTAAATGATATTCCTATTTTCTAAACTTAAGAAATTAATGCAGTGAAAAAAATTACTTAGTCAACGGATATCCAGATTCTTATTTATACTTATTTATACGATTCATTTTCAATTTATAAATATTTAGAACGATTACAAATTAGTTATAAACCATTACTGTATTGTACCTTATTGGTTGATTGATGCTTCAGTGAACATATATCTGAGCTAATTCTAAATAATGCTAAATGGTTCTCTTCAGCTATTAAGTTGTATTCTGTTATACAAAGTTAGATCTATATCATATCATATCAAAATAATGCCAACTTGTTTAAATCAGTTTTTTACAATTTCTTAGTTTTATTTTTAAGAAACAATAATTATTGATGTATAGCAGTAAAAATGAAAAAATGAAATGATAAAAGAATTTTTCAATTAAAAATATCTTTCAGAAATGTCAGTACGAAAAAAATTAGGGCAATCCTTACAAAGCACAAATCCACGTTTGATCATAATCGAACGTCCCACCAGTTGCACCAGTTGTACAAATACTTTGAACTGTTCGACTCAAGATATGAACTAAACCCAAAACAAACTCGTTAGGCTTTCTGGACAATAGAATAATTGTACATAAGTTTTACTGAATCTACAATCTAGATTTAATTTTAAATCAAAATAATTCGTACAGGTTCGAGAATTTAAAGATAAATTTAATTTCTAAAATTTAAGAATTTAACGATGAATTATTGCCATGAATTATCTGATAAGAAGAAACGTGTCATGAAATTCTGTTTTAGAACGCACTAATATTAAAAAAATCCATTTAAGTTTTAGTTCACCAAAAATAAATTTGAATCTTAAGAGATCATCAGCACAAGTGGATTTCTTTTTTAAAAGAAAAATTTTTAAAATATTATTTCATCGTTCTTTTTTTGAATTAAATTCATTCTAAGCCATAAATTACTTCTATAAGAACTTTTTTATCTTTTTTAAATTTGCTCATAACGTTGCTGCCTATCAACCACAAAATTTAATAAAGTCAATTGGTTTATGAAGAAAAGAAATGGAATTTTTTCGCTAATATTATCTACTTAATGGTTGATAGGCAGCAATGTTATAATAGCAGTTTAAATGGCATTTTATCTATCTATTTATATATACTTCTATGGATTGAGGAGATATTCCCAAATGTATGGATTAATAAATAAAGAATTAAATAAAGATTGACTTACATTGATTTCCAGCATCTTGAGTGAACAAAACTGATCGAACCTGTTCACTTGTAAATTCGGGTTCTTGAATGTCCATCTCATGGATAATTCTGAAGTATCGCTCCTTTTTGTTATCATTATATATGAAAAAAAAGAAAAATTTGCCATCGGAATATGTCAAATTATTAGTTTTTTCATTTTTAAAGCAGCCTGACTTTTTTACCACAAAATTATAAATTTTTTTTCGATTATAAAAATTTTCCCTCAACTAATGTTAAAAATCAGAATAATGCACTTTTTCAGAGCAAAGAGTAAAATATGGCGGTTGTGGCAAAAATAGAATCTGTTTTGTATGAAATGCTGCAGAGAAATTATGCTATTCTTCTAATGGCGAAGCGCATCGAAATCTGCCATAAAGGAGTATAAAAGCAAAAGGATATATTATTTATGAAAAAATAAGTGAATGTAAATATAACTTGAATTAAAAATAAAGTTAAATTTGATTAAAATGACAAGAAATCCGATAAAATTAGTTGATTATTAGACGTGATTTTAAGACTTTGACAAGTATAAAATATAAATGGAATGTGTTTTTATCAATAAGCAGCATTTCATTTGCTTAATTTAACAATCCGCTATTCTACTCTATGCACTCTAAAATTTTATTCGACTCTGAACTCAAGAAGAACTCGATCCTAAAATTGTGCTTTTGCATGAAACTTCTATTAAAACCCATTCAAGCGCGGAAAACAAACTTAGCGAATATTTCCTCAAGTGACGTTTCCTGAAGATCGAGCAACAATACGGACTTATTGAGCAAATGATCAATATCCATTGTGGCTCTAATTTCCGATCCAAAATCTTTCATTGGAATTTTCTCATGTTTTGCATACATCAATGTTACATTGTCATATTCATCTAAAATTGACAAAATGTAAAAAATTTATTTTAAAAACTTATTTTAAGACATTTTTTTGGACATATTTTAGAAATAAAATTAATCCCGGAGTTTACCAAATATCTAATGAAAAGCGAAAAAATTTTTAACAAACTGCGTTGAAATCCAACATAAGGTGTCAAAATATGCTTTCGCAACTTTTATCAAATTTTTAGCTAAAAAAATTTTGAGTTTTCAATTTTTAAAAAGAAAAATAAAATATAATTTTAAATCAGATATAAAATATTTAGAAAATCGCTCAGCAGCTGATTTAATCTTTCAACAGGAACTGAAAAGAACTCGTTGAGCATTAATTAATCTGTATTAATCACAAGATAAAACTTTCCAAGTGCCTTCCTTTCAAAATGCCTTCCTTTCTTAAAACGATGGATTTAAAAAGAAGCTCGTAGTTTAAAATAGTGGACATCGAAAATTCTATATTTTAATAGAAAAGGAATTTTTAGATTACGAATACGAAACATATAATTCCCACAACGGACTTCATCAAATGGATTTGTTTATTATCTATAAAAATTATGAGTCTCGAATTAGGCATTGTGGCTTTTTTTCTGAAAAGAATGGACATAAAAAATTTAATTTATTTATCCAAATCCAAAAACGAATCCAGAAATTTCACCAAAAGAAAACAATTGTGCAAATATGAATTAATTGAGTTTATTGATATTAAACCTTTCCGTGGCGATTGCAAAATTAAAATATCAATCAGTGAAACTCGTGTGGAGCATGAAAGAGCTGTTATTTATGTTTCTTACATATATATTCTGAAGGTTTATTGCCAGAAAACTTAGAAAATTTGAAGAGATTCAGAGGGAAAAAAGAAATATATGCCATTCTAATAGATGATGCAATTCTTTTATGTAACAACAGTCTAAGATCACTAAATTATAGCGTATTTTAGTCAGTCACTTCATAAGAAAATTACTTATTGAACAAAATAATCGGATTGTTACAGAAAGTCCTTTGAAATTTGAAAATTAAATTATTTAAAATCCAAATCTTTGCCGAATATTCACCCAAATCACTATTCCGTTATAAAAAATAAAACGTGTCAATAAATTATAATAAATTAAGAGAAAATTAGCTAAATTAGCTAAAAAAGAAAATAAAGAAAAAATAAATCCCCGCAGAAAAATCTGACTTATGCTTTCCATTTACATTATTTACCCATTAAACACAGCAATAATGGGGAGCGTGGAAGATTTTACTTTCGTAAAGTTTAGAGAATTCTTTAACTGTTGGCAAAAAAGAAATTCTCTAGCTAAATATTTATATTCAATATTCTTCGAATTATTTGAGAAATAAGTGAGAATTTTCTTATGAACAATTTTTTTTACATGGACCTATTTATATTTCTATTTTAATAAATAATAAGAATTCTAAAAGCTTCAAAAAATACAAACTAAAATTTCTTGCAAGCGAATATTTCAGAAATGATATCGCTATCTTATGTATATTTTTTTATTTAAAATTCGCCGATTAGTTGGATTTTCAATACCTAACTAATTCTTTCCAAATATCTTTTTTCACCGTATTATCAAACCCTTCGTTGTCATATATTAGTGAAAATTGTGTTATTAACGAACATTAAAGCCGTTATCACTAATTATAAATAAAATTATCACCAAAAATAAATCCTTGTCAATCTGTCTATTTGCTGTGGCATTCCATTATTTCTACTAAAGGAATTTAAATTATTTCAACAATAATATCACTTTTATAGATTTATCGGTCACTTATAGACTATTGAAACCAGTATTCTTTATGCAATTATTCCCATATTGTTATCATTATTTCAGACTTATTATTAGGCCAATTATTCAAAATTATTTTCTATTTGCTAGTATCAGATATCTCATCTTTCTTCTATAAAAAATTGCGATTCAGCTATGTTAGCATTTCAAATTGTTCTTTTATTCGCTTATTTATATTTTAAGTCCGACGTTTTTTCTTCATATATTCATTTTGAATTTTTTTCTTTGTTGTTGTTGGCTTAATGAAATGAAGAAAAATGAAATAATGATTCTTTCATCATAAGTACACTGAAAATTATAATTCATTAAACCTTTAATATTGTGCTTTGAGGTATAGAAAAGGGAATTTAAAATGATAAAATGATGAATTTGAAGATAAATTTATTTTAAATTTATTTTGAATTAATTTTTTTTGGAGGAGGAGAAGAGGACTTTAGCGATGCAATATTACAGCATTTTGACATAAGATTTTATCGATTCTAACATATTTTTGAAGATTTTTTCAAAAAATCATCAAATGATTTTAATTTATTTCTCCTTCATCGCTAATTAGAATTGAAGTTTATTGTTTTCTTGAATTTCGAAATTGAAAAGTTTTTTTAAGTTTTCTTTTGAATTCCCGATTTAAAAAAATTTCTGAAATTAATTGGCTGCTAAATTTATTATATAAGCTGAATAAATTTAAAATATGAATTGGTGCAGGTGCACGAACAAAATCAGAGATATGGTACCTCGTCATGTCATTTGCTCAGATTTGTTTTTTTTGATTAGATATGACGGAACTAAATTTTAAAAAATTTTGCGAAGATTAAACTTTTATGAAATATCGTTTAATCCTATTGTTTTTCTGTTATCTGCATATTTCCTCCCTCACTTTTAATTAATTACACTCATCCATTAGAGATTCATCAGTGAAAAATTAGACGATCTCATTATTGATAGCAAAGGCTTAATTCTACAACTGAGGTTTTACATATTACAGTTTTAAAGAAAAATAACCTATTGAAAAAAATTTATTTGTTATATTAACATGGAAGAATTTTGCGCATTTTGATGAACAATCTTCATTAGCGTATTAAAAATATTCAAATATATATAATCTGATCACCTGCGAAACTCCAACTGATAGTTTCCGATGGTGGTGTTTCACCTCGATCTGCTAAACTACTAATATCAAGTTGAAGTGCTGAGTTGTAATGAATATTAGCCCTTGAATTACTACGACTTGAGAAATGTTCGGAGATGTTCGTTGATGACGGTCGACGACTAGTTTTGGTACCCGAAATTAGAATATCATCGGAATCATCGTATTGTTTGATTGACAACCAACTGACCCTCTTTGAAAGAATACGCGGTGGATTTTCATTCGATGCTTTGTGTTTTTGATACCTCGTATCGTTTATCATGACGCCTTCCCCATAACGTTTACTAGGCGTTGAATCTTGGTCAGTACCAGCTGAAAGAAGTGGCTGAGAACATCGCCTGTCAGCCTCATTCATTAAATTATTTTTCATGTTAAACCATCCTGTGAAAGTTGACTTTCGATGCATCGTTAGAGAAGGATTTAACGATAATTTTGTTTTAGTTAACTGCATGATATGGCCAGCATGGATAATTGGATCACCAGATTCATTTCGCATATTAAGATGCATATGAGAATTTCCAGAAGATGAAGAAATAGTCGAAATTTGCTTTTGCTCAGGTAAAATAAGTAAAGTATGTGAGTTCCTCCGGAAAAGATCGCGCATTCTTAAATTAGAATATAATTGCAGATCCAAATTTGAATTTGGTTTGTTTATTGTTTGTGTTGAGCTGCATTTGAAATTATCCAAAGGTAAAGTGAATACTGGTGAAGCACATCCAACAATATTTAGTCGATCACTTAATTTTTGATTATCGCTATCGTGAGTTGTGATTTCCTTAATGATTCGTGGAAAAGATGAAGGCATTGGTGAATCTTGTGTTGGACTGCTCTCTGTAGTGGTGGTAGTTAGGACGAATTTTCCCAGCTCAAATTCTTTATTTATGTTCTTCATCTTTGAAAATACCAACGAATTTAAAGAGAAATTTGTGGAATAATTTGATAAAAGATAGAGCCAGTAAATTTTGCATTGTCTGAATTATCCAAATCCATCGAAGAGCATAAGATAGAGCGAAAGAGAGCAAAATGAAAAATCAACATTGTTGACGTCTTGGCTTACTAAAAAAGTAGTTCGAGATCAAGGGTGAAAGACTGAATAAGGAATTAGTAGCGAAGAATGAAATAATGACTATAAGACTCGCGTGTCAACGCAAAATGCTAAAATGCTTCAACTGATCCGCGTTATTTATTTCTCATCGATGTTAGGCGGTTCTTCTCCTTCATAAACCAACGCAATTTTTAGAGCATCAATGCCATAGCGAATCGAATTCGAACGTTGATTTAGCTTCAGAAATAAAATGACGCATCTCTAAAGCTCAAACAATGTTTATGCATTATAATATAATGTATTAAATATGAAATTATTTCGCTGTATCTTCCAAGATTCTAGCAAGAGCGACGAAACTATTAATGTGGTCATGATAAATACATCTCCAACGGATAAAATTGCATGAAACGAACAAGCACCTTATGTCCAGTGGAACCACTTTAACAAGTATAGTAAAAAATATATACAAGGATAACGGGAAAAGAATGAAGGGGCAAGTGGATATTCTAAATAGATTGTGAAATCAAAGAAAGTTAAAGCAAATTTTCGCAGGCTTTCTTGCACTAACTGAATTAAAAAAAGCTTTTGGGGTACCATAAATTTATTCTTTTAATCCATATAATCATTCATATCAATTGTATAATCATTCATATCTATTTTATTCTTCCACATGTCAAAAACGATGAAGCTCAATTTTCAAGTGATTTAACATTCCAATAGAAATATATGACAAAAATTTCATGAATTTGAAATTAAGAGTTATAGTTACAGCAATATATTTTACCAGTGCTAACGCTTTTTTTTTAAAATTGTTTAGATCGTTCATTTCTGGTTAGACTTGTGCTTATTGGATTAAATAAATTTTGACGAGAAGACTTAGCGATAGAGGATAAATAAATAAATGAGTTGCCAGCATCATCCAGATTCTTGAAAAACATGTTTAAAGAAACAAATTCCTGCCGAGAGTGGAATAATAACGTCCCTGGAATGAAAGCAACAACCATTCTATTTCGGTACTTAAAATAAAAATAACAGTTATTGAATGAATTTTGGTAATTGGATCGAGATAGATAAATACTTACTTTATCTCTTATTACTCATTGAAATTTCTCACGAATAATACTGGCAAAACAGGTTAAACTCGCTCCGCTGGCTTATTGCACTGGACAAATATGTTAGGGAGTCCTTTGGCCATAGAAATACAGGTGAATCGATAGCATCATCCGGATTTTTGGACACGTTTACTCCTACCCTTTTATTTGAAAGACGCTATTTCGCAATTTCCTCGTGGAGAAATACTTTCGAAAACGATCTTTACGAAAATTTTCTTTTTAAAGTCAGTAATTTGGTAAAGATTGCTCCAATAATTTATTACATAAAGAAACGGGACAACAATTTGGTTAGTATAGGCAAGTATTTTCTGAAATAAACTTTTTTTAACAGATTCCCTTTTTTTCGAAGTCATTTGGGCTCATTTGAATTTATTTCAGCAAGAATTTCCTCTTTACTATTTTTTTTATTTATTTTAGCACATATGTTGGCGTTGGAAACAACCTAAAAAGTCTATTGTTTAGGTCTGTCAGTCATATCTGATATAAAAAGTGAAATAGGTCTATTTTTCGAGAATCTTATTATTGCTGTTTTAAAATTACTACAAATACCTGAAGCTTTGTGTAAATGTACTATCTTTTCCAATAATGAACAAAAAAAAGCAAGGCAGTATGTTCTAATTTTGAAATGAAACGATATTTTGCAGAATAACTGGTTAAATCAATGCAAATGAAAGCTAAAATTGTTACAGAATTAGACTACAACCGATTTGCATCTTTGCACAGATTTTGACAAATAAGCAGATGGCAAATATCATTCGTACTTCTACTGGACTGCATCATGTCTCCTTCCTTTTCATAAAATATATTTGAAAATATATTTGATATATTAAATTTAGCTTAGACTTAGATGCTCAATATGGAATTTTTCAAAAAATCCAAAAATATATATAGACAGAATTCGGACAAAGGGTTTATAAAAATGATTGTTTAAGGTTAATAGTATACTAATAAACCATTTATTAGCCGAAGATGTAAGCTAAGATTCCCCAAAAACCGTATTTTTGGCATATATTTATGCATATAAAGATCGTTGAAATTTTTCTTCGAATTAAGAGTTTTAATAGTTTTAAAAAAAAACAAAACGTTGAAAAGCAATGAGCAGATAGATGTAGTTATGGTTGGAATAGAAAAACTTAGTTGATGTAGATTTTTTAAAAGTGGCCTACGTTCATTATCTTTGCTATCTATTCCATTTTAACTCAAACAACCATTTTTTCAGTACAACGCTAATTTTCTCAAAAAAAAACTGAAAGTCTTAGAAGTCCAGATTTTTTCTAAATGCTGAGAAATGGAAAAATAAGTACAAGAGGAAAACTTAGTAAAAGGGAAAAATAGAAATTTGAAAAAAAAACGTAAATAACGGCTTTTAACAAAAATATGATGACGGTTCACGAATTAGCGATTGTGGAATGAAGAATGCAACAAAATAACGAGTTACATATTTAATCATAAAAAACGAATATTAGGTGAAATATAAAGCACGAATGATTCATTTCCCCTAAGATTTGACATATGATGGCGAGATCACCTGCATTTGTTTCAACAATGAATTTAGATACTCCAGCGGTGTTCATTTAGTATTTAGGTAGAATTAATATTTTTAGTTATCATATTAACTTTAAACTAAATAAATAATTACGGCTTCACTGTCTATCGTCAAAGATCGTAATTTTTGCTGCATTTGCTGCTTTTGACATGTTTATCATTTCTAGTTTGGCTTGGTCTGCTGGTTCTTAGAATAAGCATCATTTGCCACAAAATGGCTGGAGGTGAGAATTTTGAAAAAAAGGGCAAAAAGGATAAAGATAAAAGTTGCAAGTAGCACCACATTATTTTTGATTTATTCATTTAATTATTCAACTTTATTCAACAAAATGCATTGTATATATATACATGTATTTATACATGATGTACTTGTATATCAGAAATGCAAATCTGGAGCTCGCGAAATTTGAGATGGGAAGCGACTCAAGCATTTCATTGAATCATAAGTTTTTCTAATCTCGAGTAAAATTTGCCCTTATATGATCTTGATTTAAATCTTCACACCAGTCCTCCACTCAAGGCCGGTGACGGGTTTCTGTCAAGTGGCAAGAACCAGTGAATATGGTATGATGTAACCAAGTTATACATGTTTATATGTGTTTCTTAATGATGCATTTGATAAATCTGATACTGAGCTGTTTGAAGGGAATTTAATGCCAACCAGAGATAAATAAAAAACTATGATAAAAATCAATTTTCATTATCTATTCATTATTTTTTAACTTATCATTTAGCCTATGTAAATTTTAGAATATTTATTATTCGAATTTTTCGATATAAATCACGAGGAGATAAAGATTGGAAACAACATCGGCTCCTTTGAATTAATTCTTGCCAAATTATTTAATCATCATTTAGGTCTGTTACAAAAATATCACCAAAAGTGCCTGCCTGATGCAATTATTTTTTAATTTTGGAAATAAATACGCATTCATACTACCGCATATTTAGCTTTCATGCGCTCATATAGGCGCAATATAAAAATAGTAGTATTACTGAAAAAAACAACAAAATAAAAGAAAAAAATGAAAAAAAATTGGCGAAGGATTACCTCGACTTGTATGTGGTGTATTTAGAAGATTAAATGAACGTTGAGCTTGCGAAAGCCTTCGCCGCACTTCAATACTTAGTCTGGATCGCTTTCGCTTTTGTAAATCTGTGGAAATGGAGCCAAGCAACGAAAGCGATTGACATGCTCCATCAGCATCTTCACTCATTGCGATATTTATGATAAATGATGATAGGATACTAATAAATTTACAGGATTTAACGCTAAAAAAGGACTACAGATGCGGTAACAGATAATTTCTGTTTCTTGTGCAGGTTTGATAGATGTCGAAATGACAATGCTTGTTAATGCGTTTGAATACGACAGTTGGGATTTGGGTGAAAAAATATTTAAATCAGATGAAATCGGTCCGCTGATAATATTGCCTTATACCAATATCAGCCATTTGTTTTGATGATTTTGAAGCATTCAAGGAAATATAGCAACAAAAATTTTCAAATATTTTCGACGCAAAAATTTTCGGCACTAAATGAGGAATGAAGAAAGATCGAATGAAAGACAAGAATAAACAAACTCGACCATAAGCATTAAATGAGCATAGCTATTGCTGTCGGGCACATATGTTTAATGAATGCTCTTGTAAATTGTGTATGCAGTCAGGTGTTCTACTCTAAAGCACTTTTTATACATGAAGTTGTATTTGTACTCAATTCGATAAATAAATTTGATGGCAACATACCAGAATTTTAAAGAAAACCACAAATTCATAATAGTCAAATTACTAAAAAAAAAAGGTTATTGTTGCTCATAGATAAAATGTTGTTCCACAAGATTACCAGGATTCGCTTTACATCAGAGCACAGAAAACTCTTCTCATCGACTTTTCGATTTTTTTTAATTTATCAATTCATAAAAAATTGTAGAAATTAGTTATTTGGAAAATTTGAAATTAATGAGCCAATCAAGATCTTAAACAATGTATCGCCTGTCATTCGCAATGGCATATGATAATGAATTCAAAACCTTTCACTTAAATTGCTTTGCTCGATAATTGTATGGAAGAAAATTGCCGGATTAAACGATATTGATAAAAACATCGAATTTTAATTAATGAAATGAAGTTTATTGAAATTTATCTATTATCTATTAAATTAAAAAATTTAGCAAAATTTTTGAAACAGAATGTAAAAATTGCTGTTAAATTAAGGAATAATTTTTTTGTTAATAAAGATTTGTGACCACCAAGATGAAAATGAATTAAAGTTTTATATAATGATGGGCTTTGGATTTCGACTTTAAAATATCTTATGATAAATTCTTGTGATAAAGTGATAAAGTGATGAGTAATTTTTAAATGCAAAAGGAATGTTTAGTGTCGCAGTTGCTTGCTCAAAAGCAAAATATTTCACACAGAATAGGACAATTAATGATTGCGAATGACTTCATGAATAATCGAGTCCTGATAAGTAAAGAGAGATATGATCTATTATTTCAAATCAAGCATCAGACCGAAGCATGAAGTTTGGAAATACTTCATCCTTGCAACCAGTGAATCTTTGGCAGTAATGGTGTGAACTTTTTTATAAAAAAGTGACATTAATGATGCATATTTATGATATGAAATATCTATTATTTTATACGTATTATACTTAATAAAGCCATTCTTATGAGAATGCATATTGTCTTGTTTTAATCGCAGATCGAACTAAATAAGAAGATCCATCATTTTTTTTTATTGATACTATTTTGTCACCACAAAGGAATAAAAATATTGATAATAGCAAAAGGAGCCATATTCTGCTCAATATTTTAATTAATAAATTTTTATAGACTTCATTTTTTAACACTTTCTTATTTTCATACTTTTTTTCTCTTTCACATGAAAAAATTTTCCTTACTGAAAGATGAAAGGAAAGAAACAAACAGTAGATGGTATGGTGAAGATTACGAAGATGAAGCGCATTTTAAAGTGTTCTCTAATTATTTATTAGCATGGAATCTCCTCAGATATTAATAAATTATCCTTTCTGAAAATATTGAAAATTTCAAATCTCATCGAAATATAAGTTAAAAAAATTTAAGTAAGAAAAAATATTAAAATATTAAACAATAAATAATATTAAAACGAACGGAAGATTTAAACTTTGTTTATGACAATTGAACTAAATTAATATTCAATATTTACTTTGGATATTTGTCAATTCCAAGCTAAAAAAATGGAAAGAAAATTAGACAGAAAAATAAAAAAAAGCCAAAATTAATGAAATCTGTACGTAAAAAACGATCCAACTGTAGCTGTAAAATAGTAGCTCCATGATCACACGGGCATGTGAAGAACAAATAAAATAAAATAAGCTTTCAGAAAAAGAGTTAATACCGAGAAATTTATCAAACAAATACTGATTAGCGGTAAACATCGCTATTTGGATTATTATTACTGATTAATGAATAAATACTTAGGTTTATTTGAACAATTTAAATGGTCGACATGAAATTTGCTTTCTTTATTAAACAATAAATCATCCTTAAATAAAATTATTATCAGCGTATTTGACATAGAAGAAAATTTCTTAGATATATTAACAATGTCGATTTTTATTGGGGAAAAAGATAATCTCATAATGATGAAATTAAGCTGAACAGCCAAATTAAAACATTTTGTTTCCGCGAGCGTTTTAGGGAATAAGTTGTTCTTTTTTTGAAAGTATGACCAAAAAAAACTAAAATTAGAGTTGAAAATATCGTATATAATTTCGAGATATTACTTAAAAGAAAAATAAATTGCAATAATTAGAAGTACTGGCTCAAAATTTTTCTGATTAAAAATCGCTATGGCCTAAAAATTTGTTTAGCCTATTATTCTTAAAAACTGTATATTTAACTCTTAATATATTTTTAAAAAAATCTTAGGTTTCTATTTTTCATTCGCTGTGAGTGGTATGGGTTACCCTCAACTTTGGGTCCTCTATCAGAGGCCTGTGAGTATGAGTGCGGTATTTTAGCTTTTCCAAGCAATTTTAATGCTCTTCCGGACAAAGATCTATGATGTTATTCCTGGAATCTGCTGAAGCCAATTTTCTAATTTAGTGTTTAGTGGTCATAGCAAGTGCTCCAATTATTACTGGAACTAATTTGGCCTTTATTTTCCACATCATCTCTAGTTCCTCTTTCGGGTCTTGGTATTTCTCTAATTTCTCATATTTCTACTTCCTAACGTTCCTTTCACTTAATATTGCTATAGCTATCACCATTGCTAACATTTCTAATTTTTATCTATTACCACGATATCTGGTTGATTGGCCAGTACTTGTTTGTGTGTTTTGGATGGGGAAAAAGATTTTCGTTCATTATTCTCTATATTTTTTCTGAGGAATCTCCCATCTAGATATATAGAGTTTAAGCCATATACTGAGTAGATATTATTGTAGATGCCAGCTAATTGTTCTTTTCAGTTTATGTTGAATTTTATATCCTGCCACTATGTTTTGGACTGTTTCTGGGGTGTTTTGCAGAATTTACACTTTGTCCAATGTGGTAAATTCAGTGGCTCTAACTAGTACCTATTCTTTGTAATCAGTGGATCATTTTCTCCATCTCAAATTCTTTTTCTCGTTAATTTTGCATCATCAAACGCTCATTTCGAAACAGTGCGCTTCTTGGCGATTAGATTCTTGATATCCTTAGATTCTATTTTTGATATCCTTAGTTATTCTCATCCTTTCTCAATTTAATCACTAGTAAGAAATAGTGTATTTCTGCTCGTTGTCAGTTTTTAAGAGTTTTTAAAAGTTTTTTAAAAGTCATATATTGATATTTCTTTCAAATAAAACCTTCAAATTTTTTTTACTTATGCGACCTGGTTTTCGCCTACCTTTGAGGACATAAAATTGGCTGAAATCAGTAAAATTTTACGAATTTTTCTTCAAAAAATGTACTTCCATACATAAAATCCATTTGTTGTCAAACAAGTGTTCCAAAAGCGAATATTAAATTTAACGATTTCAAGGCGAAAAAACTTGTTGTTGAAATTATTGAAAAGCATGAACAATAGATCAAATTTCAGTGATGGTTAACCAAAAATCTCTTAATCATTTCATTCATCATAATAAAAGTAGAGTTGGGAGCTGAATGTATATATTACGAAAAGATATCTAATGAGCTGATGAAATTCGAAAATTGCACATATCAATAATTTTTTCTTCGTTTTCCTTCCGACAAAAATTATAGGAATTTCATAGGAATCAAATCAAAATTCTCAAAATGTATACGAAGAAAAATAGCGACAATACATAAGCATGGATCGTATTCAACAAGAAAACGACCTAATTATTGGCTGATTAATAAAAGGAATTATTTATTCTAATTTATCTTCCTTAACAATTCATTTAAAGCAAAGAAAGTGGTTTACTTTAGCCAATCATTGGGACTGCAGCCATATTGATTTTCATTGAATGCAGATAAATAAATTTCACTCAGTTCAAAATTTCAAAATTTTACGAAAAATTCTTTTCCTTCCTCCGGTAAGCAAGGAAAAAAGAAATGGCATGGTTTCGATCCACGTCGGACGTTAGAGGATCTAGCAGGAGTATCGTTAATTTTCAAGAGGTGCTGACGACCTATCTGCTCTTTTATCGTCAAGTGATTCTGCAGCAAAAACGGTACTAAAATCAATTAGCTAAACGAAAATGGGTGTTTTTCCACATCGGCTACTAAAATCCAGATGTAAGAGAACAATAGGATCCTTAGCATTATTAGGGGTTCTCTTTTTTAATAACATAGATGTTCCTATCCAGAAAATAAAAATCAAATTATCAATTAATTTAATACTAATTCAAATTAACTTAATTCTCCTTAAGTCAAATGTAAAATAATCATTTATTAATAATCTACTGCCTACTACTGAATTTTTACGGATTTTAAATCTCTAAAATCACCAGTGCAAAAACTTTCTTGAATGACAATAATAAATAAAAGAATAAAATTCGCCAGTCGCAGCAGAACGAAAGCTTCATTCCTTAAAGAACATTAGCCTACTTAATAGGCTAACAATATTTTATGGCTTTTATGGCTTCTGTTATGTCACTTAACTATTTCTAATTAATATGCTGTATTTATATTTATACTTCATTTATCTATTACAGCTGGAAATGACAATAAAATAAATAGGCTTTATAGGATTGAAATCAGATGATTTTATCTTCTAGGGTTTTAGAGAAGGGAAAACGATTGGTGAATATGATATGCAATCAAGAAAATTAAAATTCGCGACAAATCCCTACGAAATTAAAGAGCCCAGCTTCATTGTTAATTTAGGCCCAGTCATCACGGTTTTCAGCACTGTAAAACCACCAGGGGTTTATATTTCTGCAGTTCAGTACATCCATGCTTGCTTATTAAAAATTAAAAATTTGCCAAAAATTTGAAAAGAATGAATGCGATCCAAGGACATATAATTTCCATACCAAAGTAAAATGAGAGTGAAATTTGCCCTTATATAATTAAAGAACCGAACAGGTGGCATCATACACTATTTATTTGTGGAAATGACAAAAAAATATATAATGGCTTACCGTCTTTTTCATCGAATTCATGTGCGCTGTCGTCATCCATATTATAAGCATTATCACTTGTCTCATCACGTTCTGATAATTTAACAGTGAATGGATGAAATGAGTCGAGTGATTGTAAAGTAATAGCATTTGAACTGTTAGCATCAGAATAGCTCATTTGACCCGCACTTTTAGGCCGTCCAATTCTAAATCGATCTCGTTGTCGTTCAACTGGAGTCATGATTCCACTAGCAACTGTCGTTTCACTTCCAATGGAACCACTGTCTGACTCATGTTGCCTGTGTCTACGTATTCGATTAAATAGACTATTGCCACCATTCGCACGGATAAAAGTCGACGTATGATGAACTGATAAATGCCTCAGTTTACGATTGTTAGTAATTCGCTCGAGTTCATTTGACGATTCGCTATTTGTCTCGATGAAACTTGTCTCACTCGAATATTTTAATAATTTACGATCAGTTGGCACTGAATGTTTAATTTTTACTTCTTCATGATCTGGTAATGCGAAAACAACTTTCGATGACTGAGCCTCAGGCGATGCTTTCACATCATCGTTAATGAAAATATTTCTTGAAGTTGCATCATCGATTAATGATTTTGATAAGCATGTAATATAATTTGAACTGCTATTTGAATCAGGTAATAAAGCAAGATCATCTCGAAATCCTCCATCAGTATCGTTATAAACGCATTCTGATGACGACATTTAAAAAATTATCTAAAAATCCGTTTTTCCAATATTTAATATTTTTCAACCAATCAGTTCATTAAGTAGAAGCTTGCTTCGTAAGAAATTGTGTATTCCTTCGTTTGATCATCATTATCTATAGAAAATAATCATGCATTAATATCAAAAGCTGAAGATAAAAATTTAGCGAAAAATTTCTAAAGTGCAAATATAACAAAATCATAGAATGTAAAATCATAGAAATGAAAGAAAACTAGGAAGTTTTGTATGAGGTTCTAAAAAATTTCTTATTTAAAATGGAAAAAATAAAATTTCGTTTTTACTGCTAATTTGCGAATAGAAATACTGATGGATCCTAGCATCACTCGAGTTTTTTAGTGATAGCTTCAATTTGCCGCAAATAAAGTTCTGCCCTGATACTGCGACAGTCGAAAGAATAACCAGTTGGTTACCTTGTCGCCTCAAATGGACAAATTAATGGATATAGGGACAAGGAGAAGATAAGGCTATTCTAGCGAAAGATCGGCAAAAAACACAAGGATTGATAACAAAACTAAATATTCGTTTAAATGTTTTTAAACGTTTTAATTAATAAAGTGATAGGAATTATCGAAAATATTGAAAAGATTTATGTGAAGAAAACAATTGAATAATTTTAGTAAAATAAAACTAGAAACTAAGCAATTCACATCGGCAATTCGCAAATATAATGTTATCTCTGCTAATATTGCATTTTTTGGTAAAAAAATTAAAAGCATTTCTGCTAAAGTCGACAAAAAACTGCTTTAATCCTTGGCTATAACTGCACTCAAATTCTTCCAATTCTATTTGAGATGTAGCTTGATCGATATTAATTCTAGAGACGAACAATTATTTTAATAATTCTTTTTCTAATAACATTCACCAATTCCTATTTGGCTGAGCCTACTGGTTAGGATGAGAGCCCTTTGGAAGAGTCACCTGCGACAGAAGCACAGGTTTTCAGAATCAGTAGGAATTTTAAATTATAAAAACAAATAACGATAAAAATAAATATTGAATTTATGATGGCTTTACTTTCATCACAGCATATAGTGTCTTATTTTTTTAAAAAATTTTTCTAAATTAATGAAATTATTCTGAAATAGAAAAATTATCTCAAAATTTTTCCTCGAAATAATTCTGTTTATTCCAGGTGTAAAATAAATTTATGTAATCGTTCTTTTATTATTTTGATCAATCATCCACGAGTTCATAATTTCGCTTGGCTCAGCTAGCCTAGCTATTGCTTTAACGAGTTTCTGCTATTAGGTTAACCTACAACCTATGGAAAAAAAGATGGAAAAACGGTTTTTTTTTTACCATGCTACTTAACTGTAATTTAATGAACCAAAGCTTCCGTCCAGATCTGAGAGAAAGTTCTTATTCATTTTACCTATTTTAATTGCCTATTTAACTAAATTGAAATGTCTTGCTCTTAAAGGCTCCAGATTTCCTAGCTTGATTTTAAAAAAAATAACAATCAGCGTTCTTATTTGAACTCTCTTTGTTAGCTATTAGCTATTAGGTGAGAAATTTTTTGCCAAAGAAAATACCATTCGGCGATAAAAAAATGCACAGAGCCAGTATTAGTCAGATTTTTTAATGGGAGGTTTAATTCTACGAATCCCCGATTCTTCAAGCAATGAATCTATTCAACAAATTTTTCTAGTGCTTTCAAAATACTTCCAAAAATTCATTTCAAGATAGAAATACAGATGGATCCATTGCATGGTTCGGGTTTTAATGACAAGCTTCCATGAAGGCGATGAATTCAATTTATGTTGCTTGAACTCAGCCAAAGCGACATACCATTCTGTCCGCTACCAATTATTTGAACACTATGGACTTAAATTGCTATAGAATCAGTCTGTTTTCTAAATTTATGTAAAATATGAGCATTGACTATCACTCTATTTTTCTTTGGGAAATTTGCGGATGTTATATGAAAAAAATGTTAATGTAAAAAGAAAAGAAAATCCTGAGGAATGGCGAAAAAAAATTAAAGAAAGTTTAAAATAATGGAAACTAACAACAAATAAGTCTTTTCGCAAAACAAGGAAAGATCACGAAGGAAAAATTTCGAAAAAACAAATTTAACAAGGTTTGAAGGCGCTTTAAGAGGATTTTAGATTTTCTGATCGAGTTTAAAAAATTCGCAATTCGAGGGGAATTTTAAGGAATTATAGCATAAATGGAAGGAGAGGTGCTAAGAATGAATGATAAGAATAATGCGTGAGAGCTTGTTATGAGGATAACGGTTTCAATTTAGCAATTTCTTTCTTTCGTTTTTTCCGGTCATACCCACCCATTAAAATTACCAATTTTTGCAAACTTTTATAAAATAGGTTAATAGCAAATTTTTTTCATAATATTCCAAAAGCGAGTGAATTTAAATAAAAAATTACATTCTAACCTTCATAATATATGCAAATGGCAGGAGCAGTCAAGTGGGATGGTTTCTTTGATTCGTGCCTAACATCATTCGATTCCCTGATTCTAACCGTTTGTCTTTGTCAATTTGGAGCAAATTTCTCTTCAAAATCATGCAGGCGACTCTTCTACACTACTCTCGTTTAAAAATTTGTCGTTTAAAATCGAGGAGAAAGAAATAAATAACAATTTCATCTGGAAATTTCATCTGGAACTTTGTTGTTTTCCTAGAAACGATTCAAATATTGTTTTATAAAACTGTCGAAAGATGGTTTTTAGAATCTAAAAACAAATATTGCGCTTAATTTAGTTTCCAAAAAGAGATTTTTTCAAGTACTGTTCAGCATTAATGTGCAGCAAAATAGATTTTTTCTACTGACAAAGAGAACGAAGAGAGTGTAATTATTAAAGGGAAATTTATGACTGCCGTTAGCTTGTAAATGAAATGTATTTTTTTATATTATATTATTTTAAATACAAAAAAATCATCTTTTTTCTACACATCCACGAGTCCTTTTATGTTTGATTTTATAGTGATTTTTTTGCGTACCTGTCATACAAAGAAATTTACACAAATATATATAATTAATTCTGCCATTTTTTTCAATATTCAATCGGTTGCAAAGATTACTCGTAAATATCTTAAAGGAATAATGAATGGTACGTGCCAAAATATGATGCGTAAACTAAGCAATAAAGCCATCCAACTAAAATACTTATGCCCAATTGATTTTAAAAAGTCTCATAATGATTGAATGAATGATTAAGAAATGATCAAATGGACGAACTTGATTATTAAAGTGATTAGGCGACATTTAGCTAAGAATGGACCAAACTAAGTAAAGTAAGTAAGTAGAATAAGAGCTTAGCGTTTTCTGGTTAAATTCGGTCAAGTGGCGATTAATAAAAGTTAAAATTAAAAGTTAATAGATAAATATATTAATGAATCTACTGAATTAATTTGCTGGGAAGCAAAAAATTATTTGCCATTTCCATTTTTATAGCAAATATTAAATGGGGATTGGATAAATTCACTAAAATCAAAATCACTATCTAAGGCCATTTAAACCTAAGAATTTTGCTACGCTGAATACTGTAAGAAATTTCTATTTGTCGTCCTTTTAGATGAAAAATTTGATAAGTAAACTCAAAATCTTCTAAAACTATGTCAAAAATATGTGAAAATAAGTATAATAATTTTTTATTCGCTTATTTATAAAAAACCAACGAAAGACATTAATTTTTGACCGCTGAGAATGGATTAACGAATACCTTTAAATAAAATAAAGAAAAGTAACTTCCTCGAAAAAAAAGCGCAGTAAATCAATTTTCTGCTGATAGAAAAAATTTCAGCTCAGTGAATCAATTTCTCTTTGTAGTATTCTCCTCAAAGTAAAGATCATGTTTTTTAAACGAGCTGACCTCAAGAATTTGTGTTTTTGTATATAATGGCGACTGTTCAGTTCGCCATTGAGAGTGGAGGATATTAAAAAGCCATCTGCCTTTGACCATTCATGTCTAAAATATGGTCTGTCGAGCGAAATAAAATTGCACATGATTGCATATCACTCTAACTCAAATACCACTTGCATTAACAGTACCATCTTCGCTGGCTAGCACGTTACTAATGAATTCTGAACTTAGAAACCGAAGAGAGATACCCCAAATTTTTACGTTAAATAATAATTATTTAAGAAAACGGTAAAAATAGTAATGTGGCATGGCTATTTTGGTTACACCATAAATTTAATTTCTTGAACTTGACAAGAAAAAATTTGCCTTTAAAAAATACAATGCCAGCCCACTTGCCAAGCGACTCCCTGGTAAAAACTTTTAGCAAACCTATTAGCAATTATCAGAGCTAGTCTAGCAAAAAATTTTGAGCGCAACTAGTTCAAAAATAAAAATAAAAAATAAAGAAAATTCTAAATTAAATACTGAATTGATTTCATAAAAATACCAATGAGATAACAAGCTTGTAATCGCTCGTTGATGCAGATTTTCTTGCAAATTTACAAGACATTTATTCATTTAAAATAAAATAAAAAAATCAAAAAACAGTTAGTTAGTCAAAAATCCCATTTCACAATGAGAGATTTTATGCTTGCAAAAACTAAAATTAATTTGGCAAAATTATCATTAAAATAACCTAAAAACTGTAAAAATAATCAGCCACAAGTTTTAATAATTTCGAATTCACTAATTGAAAAATTTAGATTAATGTGTTCTGACAAAAAAGAGAACAATCAATTTTAGATATATTTAAGCTAAATATATGTCTCGTTCAATAGTTAGGAATAATCGACTTAAATAAAATCATTTTGGCGGAAGCCTGGTGATAACTGGTAAATTATAATCAATTTTTCTCTAAAAGAACTTTGATCAGCACATTAGTTAAGCGATGGATTAAACTAATGATGATTAAAAATTGCACCTAAAAAAGGACTTTTTTTCTGGAGAATTTCTGGAAGATTCATAAATTATAGGTTCCATCTCTATTTTTGTTCATTCGATAGCATTCTTATTCTCGGTTTGGCTAGGCTTCTAGGATGAGAAGGTTTTGTCAA